CCCGACGGCGGAGAGCGCAGGCGGCGGCACCGGCACGGCCCCGCGGCCGCCTGCGACCTGGACGCGCGCAGGGAGGACAAGGAGCGCCGGCACCGGCGCAGGAAGTGAGTGCCGGGCGGGACCGCGGGAGCGAGGGTGGGCACAGCCCAGTGGCGCCTGCTGTATACTCCGTGCTCTCCCGAGCAGCGCGCTGCGGGGCTCGACAGCCCCCTGAGGTACATCCCATTGTCGCAGCCCCATTTCACAGAGGGGGACACGCAGAGGTGAAGCCGCTGGCCCAAGGTCGCACAGCTAATGAGTGGCCTTGAACCCGGACGCTGCGAGCAGACCGTCGAGACCTTGCGTTTCTCCGGGAAACTCTGGAGAACTCGCCCCTAGAATTGCGTGGCTGTTCCGTGTGCTCGCTGTGTGACCTTGAGCTAGTGACTTCCTGTCTCTGGGCCTCCGTTTTCTCAGTCTGTAACATGGGGGTGGTGGGATCTAAGTGGGTCATTGCTGGAATTAAATGAGGTAATACATGCAAAGGTGCTGCAGGATGAGTGCCTGGTGAGTGTAGACCATTGTTAGCTGTCACTGAGTTAACCTCTTTTTACCTGATGCTATTCCTGAGGGACTTGAAAAGCCGCTCTGGGCCCTCAGAATCAAGGGCGAGCAGGGCTCAAGGCTTGTGGGGGCATCTTCAGGCCAGCCCCTTACCCAGTCGGAAACAGCACCCATTTTCATCCCAATATTTTGCAACACTCGTTGGAAGGTCCTATAGTGATTCTACATCCAAGACCCCAACACCCTACCTGCTGAAGTGGACGTTGTTCTTTTATTAATTAACGTCTTCTTAGGCTTCTTTTATATCACAGTTTGGGCATCATATTGATTGTTTAGTGATGTGTTTCGGGGGTTCTGTTCGACCACACAAGCCCTAGGTCAGCACTTCCCAAAACTGAGCGTGTGCACGCAGCCCCAGGGGTCCTGTTCAAAGAGACCCTAATGCAGGAGCCCCCCGGGTGGGGCCGGTGCTCGTCCGGGGACCACACTTTGAGTAACGAGACCCTGAGGGACAGATTGGGGCGATTCTGCCGCAGGCACCTGCACGCACGTTGCGCGTGAATGCGACAGGTACACTTGCCGTGGACTCGGGGCTGTGTGGACAGCTCCTGAGATGTGAGGGAGTTGTGCCCATGTCGACACGTCCCCCAATGGTGGACACCTCCTGGCAAAGTCCCATACGAATAGTCCAGTCTTGCTTCAGTTCGTCCAATAGCTGTATTCCAGGAAAAGGTGATGTGTATTTAAAACGTGCAAAAAACACTTTGCGTTTGTGTGTAAAACAGACTTAGGCTAAAATTAAAGGCACAGATCATTGCAAGCAGATTTCCCCCATGTGAGGGACCTTAGAAAGTCACGAAGGAGAAAGGCAGAAAATTCTGCTCCATGCAGGACCGCCCTGCACACGGCAAGGAGTTTAGTTTGCCTGCCTCCCGTTTCCTAGATGCCCACAATGCCCCCCAATTATTGGGTCACTAGGTCTTCCCGTGTCTCCTCAACAGCCCATGGAAACCATTGTTTTAGGTCATTCCTGCTCCAGGGTCTTCTCTTACCAGTTTATTCGTTCATTCCGTCAGTGTTTATTAAGCGCCTACTATAGTCTAAGCCGGTGCTGTGGATACGAGCAAGTGGCGGGCATGCTGTGACAAGTGGTCTGGGGCACTCTGAGAAATATGCCCAAGAAACCATGCCCAGCCTAGGGTCCCAGCACAGGCTTCCGACAGGAGCAATCCGAGAAGGGAGGAGAGTGTTCTAGGCTAATAACAGCATGTGCAAAGGCCCTGAGGTGGGCCAGAAGGAGATCACTTTGCTGTCTACAGTTAGAGGGTGAAGAGAGAGTGGCAGACAGAGAATTGAAGGGACGGGGTGGGTCAGCAAAGCCTAGGGTCCTCTCAGGCAATGGGAGGCCACTGAAAGGATTTTAGGGGGACTAAAGCGTGTAGCACAGGACTCCGTCATTAAAGACCAGTGATTCACTGCTACTGTTATTATATTACCTGCTAATACGATGTTGTTATCATCCTTGTTATTGTATCTACTCCTATGACTGATGGAGGCAGAGTGACAGGGGCAGAAGGCAGCCTGGTAGTGAAGGGCAAGCACTCTGGAGGCCGAGGTCACCCTCGTCCTCATCACTTCCCGGCTGTGTGACTTGCAGTGTCACTTCCCCTCTCTGGGCCTCCATCTCCTCATTTATAAAGTGGGGATGTGAACAGTGCCCACCTCCTAGGAGAGGCGTGGGGTCAAATGAGCTAATACACATAAGACGCTTCACATAGTGCCCAACTGGTAACGAGTGCTCGGCAATGTTAGCCGTTACTAGTACGAGCATTGTTACTATTAAGCGCGCAGTCAGTGGTAGCTGCTCCTAGTATCGGTGTAGGCACTCACTGCGTTAGCTATCGCTATTACTTTCACTATGATTAAGACTTTTTCATTGATAGACGTTAAAAATAATTTTAGATCCACAGCCTTTAGATGTCCACTCCAACTCCTTTTTAGATCCACAGCCTTTAGATGTCCACTCCAACTCCTTTTTACAGATGGGGAAACTGAGGCCCAGAGAGGGGAAGGGATTTCCCCGAGGGCAGCCAGCCCCTGGGCATCCCCCAGCTGGCCCTGTCCCCGTCCTCTCCCGAGCAGGAGGCGCCTCCCCACTCCTACCCTCTTTGGTTGATCGGGCTCCTGTTCTGCACCAGGAGGCCACCACTAACTCCCTCAGCAGTAGACGTGTTGCACGCCATGGCCAGGAGGGACGTGTTCATCTGGCTGATAAATATATTCTGACCTCGTTGGAAATAAAACTTCATGAAGATTCAGGCGCTTTTAGAGAAAAAGTCCGAGACAAGCCATTCATCTGCTTTAAAAAATAAATAAATACAAATGGCAAAGATAAAACTTTATTCCAGAATATAATATGCTAAAAAGACGTTCGGTTCCATATTACGTACGAGGAAGCCAGTGGCCCTACGGGGTCTGCCTCATGCATGTTCCCCCTTGGCGTCCCTGGGGCCTTTCCCCAGACGGGCTCCGTGCTTTTCATTCTCCAGAACATTGATGATGTGTATGAGGGTTTCCCTTCCGTCCTCTGTCTTCCTTCCCGTTTCCACCTTCTTCTCTCCCTCCTCAGTTTCCCAGCTCTAGGGGTCCCCTCCCCTAAGGCTTTCACTGGCTCAGCCCGGGGAGCAGTGGGCAGAAGCACGTTCTATCCCACGTCGTCAACAGTTGCTGGCCCCGGATCCCTCATGCCGGGCGTCTGAGCCCAGAGGCACCCCAGGGCGGCCAGAGTGAGGCCGGAGCCCTCCCTGGCTCCCAGGAAACATCGGTGGCCTGCAGGGCGTCCACGGGAGGCGGGAGCCGGGCAGTGCCTCCTGCCAGACTTGGCCAAGCAAGGGGAACTTGTGCCAGGCCTCTGCCACCCCAGAATTAATGTCTCGGCTCTTCGCATCCTGGCTCCACCTGCTCCCATCACCATGACAACTCGGTCCCCAAGAGGAGCCAGGGGAGAGACGCTGGACTGCTGAGCCTCAAGGTCTATCCTGCGTGGGGCGGGGGGAGGTTCATCCTTTAACACCCTGATCCTACAGCCCCCAGGGGCCTTAGCCAGTCTCCTCAGTACCCCCACTCCATGCACCCCAGGTCACCCATCACCCCATTTTCTCCACTGAGTGGCACTGTAGCTTAAGATTTCTAGGACCGGAGTCCAGCTCAGCCATTTCCCAGCTGGTTAACACTGCGCAAGTGCCTTTGCCTCTCTGGGCCTCAACTTCCTCGTCTATAAAATGGGCCTGATGCTAATACCGCCTCCGATGGTGGCTGTGGTGGGGATTAAATGAGTTAATATGTGCAGGTCCTTACGACGGTGGGGCACAAGGAAGCAGGACCATCCTCTGGATCGGGGGCCTGAGCTGCCCTGGGGGAGGTGTCCACGGCCCTCAGCAGAGGGGCGCTGAAGTGATTAGCTGGCAGAGAGACGCGGCACGGGGCCAGCCTTACGCGCCCGGCTGCCTATTCCGGGCAGATGATGGCAGGTCCCCAGGAGGGAGGGGGAAGGGGCCTGACTTCAAGGTTTTCTGCCCCTTTTGAGTTCTCTTTGGAGACACTTAGAAATGAAACCTCCTGGAGGTTGGTCTTAGGCCTTTGTGGGCTGAGCTCGTGGAAACGCCGTGACCGGCAGAGCCAGCAGAGGAAGCGAAGGCAAGACAACAGAACTCTGTGGGTCCTCTGTCCGTGTGGAGAGGGCTCCTGGTCCCAAGCTCGAGGCTGTCCCCCCAGCAAAACGCTCCGCCTGGTCGCAGCTGCTGGACTGTTTAGCACAGCCCCTTCAGGTGGCAGCCAAGGGGTTCAGTTCTCTGTGAAATGACAGGGGTATCTCTCTACTAAAAAATATATAAAAATGAGAGAATATTCCCAGCCAGATTTTCATCTGATGTTCAACTTCTAAAAAAGTACCAGGAGGGGGTTAGAAGTAGGAGCCTTTTTGTGGGCTGTGCAAGAGCTTGGGGGAGTCTTGGTTTAGAATTTTTCATCTAGTCCACACCATCGCAGCCAGCGCTCACCGTCCAGGCACAGAATTCACCTCCCAGGGCTGCCAGCAATCCTTGTGCCCAGCCTCCCTCGGCCGGTAGACCCGTCACTCCAGCCTCCGCCTCCGTCTTCACAGGGGCCCCCCTCTGTGTGCCGCCGCCCCTTCTCTTCTCTTCTGAGGACACTTGTCGTTGGATTCAGGGCCACCCTCATCCAGGATGAGCTCCTCCAAGATCCTTAACTTGATTAGGTCTGCAAAGACCCTGTTCCCCCGGAAGGTCACATGCACAGGTCCTAGGCAGACATACCTTGTGGGGGGCCGCCATTCAACCCACTACAGTCCGCCTCTGACCCCACCCCAAAATTCACATCCCTCCCACATGCAGACGACATTCACCCCCATCCATCCCAACATCCGCCAAGTCTTAGCCCCTTACAGCGTCAGCTCAAAATTCCCAAATCTCATCATCTGAGTCGGGATGGCTGAGACTCTGGCTGTGATCCACTGGGGGCAAAATGCCGCTCCATCTGTGGACCCCGAGACTGGAAACCAGTTATCTGCTTCCAAAATGCGGTGGTGGGACAGGCCTGGGATAGACCTTCCTGTCCCAAAAGGGAGAAATTGGAAGGAATGAGGGGTCACTGGTCACAAACAAGTTCTGACTCCAGCAGGGTGGATTCCATTAGGTTTCAAGGCCTGAGAGTAATCCTCCAGCCCTCGGCCTGTTCACACATTCATTCCTCATAGCAACTCGATGGCGTTACCAGGCCCATCTTGTGGGTGAGGAGCAGGCTGAGTAACTCACCGGCAGTCATAGAGCAGATCAGCTCCAGGGTCTTCATTTTAGTCTCTGAGTTGTAGGGAAGGTTCTATAAGTAAACCCACCGTAAAGACAAGGGACCTGAGGGGCTGGCCTGGTGACACAGTGGTTAAGTGTGCGCGCTCCACTTCGGCGGCCCGGGGTTCGCAGGTTCGGATCCCGGGCGCGCACTGACGCACTGCTTGGTAAGCCATGCTGTGGTGGCGTCCCATATAAAGTAGAGGAAGATGGGCATGGATGTTAGCCCAGGGCCAGTCTTCCTCAGCAAAAAAAGAGGAGGATTGGCATCGGATGTTAGCCCAGGGCCAGTCTTCCTCAGCAAAAAAAGAGGAGGATTGGCATCGGATGTTAGCCCAGGGCCAGTCTTCCTCAGCAAAAAAAGAGGAGGATTGGCATCGGATGTTAGCTCAGGGCCAGTCTTCCTCACAAAAATAAATAAATGAAGATGGGGGACCTGAGGCTCAGAGAGGTTAGTCACACTACAGAGGGTCACACAGCTCGTAAGCGGCGTTGCTGAGGCCCAGGCCAGGTCAGCCCGTCCTCCAGGGCGTCAGTCTGTGGCCCGCTCGCCTGCCTGAGGACGGAGAAGCTCGACTGGGCCCGCCCTTCTCCCATGTGGCCTCAGAGAGCCGAGCCTGAAAATAAGTTACCTTGTCTCTCTTCTGCTCACTACAGCACCAGGGACTCTTGGAAGTTAAGATGCAGAAATACAGTGAGGGAGATGGTGCGGGTGGCTCAGCCAGGGGGAGGCCCCGGGGGGGCAGCCTTGGCTTGAGTGTCAGGTGGACGTGGTTCTGGGTGGGCCTGGGGCACCAGGCCCGCGCTGTCCAGAGCCGTCGGTTCCTGCGATTGCGTGTGCTCTCCCAGGCAGGCGTTCAGTGAACGGGAGTGGCTGGGTGCTCTGTCCTCGCTCTGGCCGCTTGAGTGAGGGGGTGAGGGGGACAGCCTGACAAAGCCACTTCGTAGCGTGACTTGGCTTCTCCGGGCCTCAGTGACAAGCCCAGCCGCTCGCCCTGGTTGCCTGTGGGATGGATGAGCCGGTGAGCGTGAGGTCTGGCGCGCAGCGTGCGCTCAGTGAGTGTGAGCTGTTACGAGGAGACGTGGAGGGCACAGGCTCCAGAATCGGGGGTCGCCTTGAAGAAGAGCCGGGGGAGAAGTTTTGGACTGCAGACCCTTGGAGAGAGGAGCCGTTGAGACTGTAAACCACAGATGTCCTGGTGTTTCCGGGAAGCAGACTTTCTGGGGGCCAGGGCCCAGGGATCGGGGAAGGGTGGGGCACCGTATCTGAGGATCGGGGGTCCAGAAGGGCTCTCCGAAGGCTAACAGCAGACTTGGGGGCCGAGCCCGCAGGGAGCTGGCCAGGGGGCCAGGTCCACCCGGATGCGTGCGCAGGCGGGCAGAGCCAGGCTGGCCGAGGACAGACATGCAGCGAGGGGACGGGCTCCAGCCCCCAGCCACCCTCCCCGGACCATGGCTCCTGGGGTCCCTGGCAAACTGGGGGTGAACTGCAGGTGGGAGGAGGCAGGTCGTTGGAAGGTCTGGGCCAGTGGGACCCCTCCTAGGCCTCAGTGTCCTCATCTGAAAAATGGGGGCATTCGTTTACCATTTGACAAGAAGTGACCAAGCATTCGCCGTGTGCCCGGCCCTGTCCTGGGCGCTGAAATCACAGCCCTGAACAGGAGGGACACAGATAACCCCTTGCCTTACGGAACTGATGTTCCAGTGGCTTTCGAGGTAGGAAAAGCTCGACAAGGAACCTGAACTTTTTTCTCTCCTCTGAATGCACTGAACTTGCAGACTCTTTTCTTCTCATGTCCGTCTGCAGGATGTTAATGATTTGACTAATTGAGGCACCAAACTCCTACCCACCTGTCTCCCCTGCTGTCCGCCTCCAGCCACACCAGCCTTTGCTGTCCCCACCTCAGGGCCTTTGCACTGGCTGTTCCCTCTGCCTGGAATGCTTTGCCCAGCACCCTTGTATCCCTGTGAGAAATTCTCTTGTTCTCTTACCAGCTGTGTGGCCTCGGGCAAGAGACTTAACCTCTCTGAGCTTCAGTTTTCTCATCTGTAAAATGGTGCTAGTCATTGTCCCCCAGGGCTGGCGATGAGGGGTTATCACGAGTCAAGGGCTTAGAACAGTGCCTGGGAGTCTGTGTTACGGAAGTGTTGGCTCTTATTATTGCTGCTGTGAGTTTTCATTATGTTTACACACACGTACTGGCTGCTTCCTCTAACTGTGGAGGTAGAGCTTTGGGGGCCCCCTGGGTGCCGGGTGCTGGAGGGCTTAGGGACACAGTCTCTCGCTGTCCGAGTGTCCCCAAATGGTGGGATCTTAGGTGGGATCCACAAGTGTCCGCTCGGTCATTCTAACTCAGTCCTGGATTCTTTCTTGTTGGCCTGCCTGCCGCAGAGAGAACCAGGGCTCCGGGGTGCCCGTGTCAGGCCCCAACCTGTCGACCACCCGGCCGATCCAGCAGGACCTGGGCCGCCAGGACCCGCCGCTGGCCGAGGACATGGACAATGTGAAGAACAGCCAGCTGGCCACCGCGGAGTCGGCCGGTCCGCACGCCGGCCTGCCCCAGAGCCCGGCCAAGATGGGGAACAGCACCGAGCCCGGCCCCCTGCCGGCCCCGCCCGCCGCCAACCCCCTGGACACCGCCAGCCACCGGGCGCCCCACAACCCGGGGAACCCCTCCAACCCCGGCCCCCCCAAGACCCCCGAGAACAGCCTTATCGTCACCAACCCTAGCAGCGCCCAGACCAACTCAGCGAAGACTGCCAGGAAGGCCGAGCACACCGTGGTGGACATGCCCTCTGCCTGCCCGCCGCCCCTCAACCACACCGTCGTCCAAGGTGAGCCCCCGCCCTCGCCCGTCATGGGCGCCGTCCCCAGAGGCCAGGCTGCAGGACCCTGGACAGCGACCCGCCTCCCTGCCTCCGGCTCCTCTGGACAATGGGGGGGACCCGGGTCCCCCCACGGGCCGCGGGGAGGATGCCGTGAGATAACGTGCACAAGGGACACGCCCGTAGACGAGGGGTGTCTCCTGCCCCCCGAGTCCCCAGGGCACAGGGAGCCACCAGGTCTGAGGAGCGGGGGAGTCGCCCGATGGAAATGTGGGGCCAGATGACCCTATAGGCCAGTGCTGTCCAAGAGAAATGTGACATCTGTGATTGTAAACTTTCCAGTGGTCATGTTGAAGTGGGGGGAGGAAGAGAGAGAGAGGAAGGAAGGAGGGAGGGAGGAATTAAAAAATGAAGAAGTAGGTCAAATGAACTTTACTAATAAATTGTATTTAACCCAAAATGTTTATTTATACCCCAAATGTTCCCATCGCCACGTGCAATCAGTATTTTCAGAATTATTAACACACTATTTCACGTTCCTGTCCTCGTACGCAGTCTTGGAAACTGGTGTGCGTTGCACACCCCGGGACGTGGCTGTTTGCACTAGCCCCGCGTGGCATGTGGCTCACAGGTCCCGGCCCTGAGGGCCTGGCGGTTTCTGCCCCACCCCCAGGAGGGCAGAAGCGCAGGAATTAGAGATGGGCCACTAAACTTGTCTCCTGCGGTGGCGGCAGGGGCCCACGTCCTCAGGTCAGCTCCCTGCACGAGGTCTCCGTGCGTTTGCTCCGTCAGCGCTCGCCACGGTCCGACGAGGTGGGTCTCGTCATTGTGCCCACATGCAGATGAAAGACAGGCTCAGGGAGGCTCGGCCTGCCCGGGACACGCAGCGAGGCGAGGCTGCAGAGTCGGTGCTCGGGGAGTGGGGGCTCCTCGGCCCGGGCAGGAGAGGGGCGTCCCCGGGGGCACCCTGCAGTCTGACTGTGGGCGAGCTCCTAGTCCCGTCCGTAAAGTGGGGCTACCGGGCCTCACCCTGCCTGCCTCCGAGCGTGGAGTGAAGGTCCACAGGATGGGGGCAGGTCTGCGTTCACAGCCCGTGGGGGTCCCTCCAGACTCGGGGCTGCCGTGGTTGAGAGGGGCCGGGCTGCCCGGGCCCAGCTCTGCCCCTTCCCAGCTGTGTGACCTTAGGCAGGTCACTTCCCCTCTCTGCGCCTCAGTTTCCTCATCTGTAAAATGGGGACCATAAAGTACCCACCTCAGAGGGTCACCTGAGGATTAAACGGCACAGGATGGTGCCTGGCGCATAGTAGGCGCTTCATACGTGTCAGTGGCTTATTGCCTGCTCTGGGCAGTGGAAGGAGCCAGAGGCTTGTGGGAAATTGAGGAGGGAGCCGTGCGTTGGTTCTTGTCCCGACAGTGAACAAAAACGCCAACCCAGACCCACTGCCAAGAAAGGAAGAGAAGGAGGAGGAAGACGACCCCGGGGAAGACGGCCCCAAGCCCATGCCCCCCTACAGCTCCATGTTCATCCTCTCGACCACCAACCCGTGAGTATGGCCATGGCCAGGGGGGGGCCCGGGGCTCCCGTTGGGGCAGCGGGAGTCAGGCCAGAGGGGGCCTTTGAGCAAACTGAAAAATGGTGCCTTTTTCCTAAGTCATAGAAGATAGAAAGTTGTGATACAGTACTGATTGTGTAGCAGAAGACCCCTTCCTGCCATCAGCTAGAAATCATTGTCATAAATACCCAAATCTACACTGTCTGTGACGTGAGAGGTGCCCCTTAGAAATGGCTGCCTTGTGCAGTGCACAACATGTACAACTGTATGAGGCAGCCCTGCTCCTAACCTCTGCTCCTCAAGGGTTTGGATTCTGGGTGGATGGTCTCTGAGCTCCATGGCCCTCAGTCTTGGGCATCCTTGAGGAGGATGGATTATTTAGGGGAGAAGTTTATCACATGTATGTCACGGGGGCTCGGAGGTTGTTTTAAAATTGCATTTTGCTAAGGAGTATTTCTTGAAACCCTGGTCCCTCAAAATACTTCTCGACAAAGAAGAATCACGTCCAACAAGCTGATTTCTATAGCCTGCCTCTTGGAGTCTCACCCTGTGTGTTTAGTTTTTATTTAGTTGACATCTCTTTTACCAGAGAAACACTTACGTGGCACCAAGTGCCGGGCGCTGTTCTGAGTGTTTTACAAATGAAAAAAATTTCTCATAATAACCCTCTGGGGTTGGTACTATGTGTATCCCCGTTTGGTGAAGAAACGGAGGCCCAGAGAGGTGAAGTCACTGCCCAAGGTCACACAGCAACCAAGTGGGAGAGCCCAGACAGACCGACTCCAGCATCTCTGTTCTTAACCCCTCAGCCCTGCTGCCATTCCTACCACCTTATGACATATTTGTTATTATTAACTCCACTTAAGAGGTTAAGTATTATCCCATTAGCACTTTAAAGGCTCTGATAAGGCCTGCAATTCATCGTTTTAGTAACTAGCTTTTCAGAGCCCCTACCATGTGCCAACTCTTTGGAGCTTCACATCCTTGTGAGGTGGGTGCTATTATTATGGCCATTCCACAGATGAGAGCATGGAGGCACAGAGGGGATAGGTAATTTGCCTAAAGTCACGCAATTAATTTAAAAGAAAGAAAGAAATCTACTTAAGCTAGCATTCCCCAATTTTGTTTGACCACAGCACATTTTATGCATGAAAAACCATTTCATCTCCTACAGAATCAAGGATAAGATTTCCTCAGCTCAGCCTGGGAATCAAGATGTTCCAGGAGGGTTGTTTGAGAGTGATAGGAACTTATAAACAGGGCATGTGAATATCTCCCATAGCTGAGGTACCCCCTCCTTATTGGGGTTCCAGGATCCTGAAGAGCCCCCGATGTGGGAGCTTGATGGTTTGTTGGGTGTGGGACCTCGGGAGTTAGAGATCTCGTGATAGATGACATAAGGAGGCTTGGGAGCCCGGGGTCTGAGTGGACCTCTGCACGCCCACCTGTCCCCAACAGCCTTCGCCGCCTGTGCCATTACATCCTGAACCTGCGCTACTTCGAGATGTGCATCCTCATGGTCATCGCCATGAGCAGCATCGCCCTGGCGGCCGAGGACCCCGTCCAGCCCAACGCACCTCGCAACAATGTGAGTCCCGCCCGGCGGGCCCCTTCCCAGCCCGGCCCCTCTGTCACGGCCACCCTCTCCTGCATGCAGAAAGCTCACGGCTCGGGTGGAAGGGTGTCGGGGCGGCCGGGGCGCAGCCCGTGGCTGCTGGTGGGGAGGGGCCCCCACTCCCCGGGGCTGCTCCCGAGGGCGGGGGTCCTGGAGGGGCAGGAAGGGGCGGCCCGGCGTGGCTGCGCCCGAAGACGCTGGCATTCTGGGTGGGGGGTGAGGCTGGCAGGATGCGGCGGGGCCCCTGCTCCGCGTGGAGCGTGGGGGGCGCTCAGGCAGGGGGGCTCCCGACGCGAGCCCCCCGGCAGCCAGGTCTCGCCAGGCAGACTTGCCTGTTGACCCGACGCTGTGAGAGAAAGCGCTATTTTCACTCAGACACACCCTGAACTTGCAGCTTTTCCGAGAGCTACAAGCCCTCCCTCGGGGGGCTGGGCTCTGCGGACAGGCCCGGGTCACGGAGCACTTAACAGGCTCCCCCCAGGAGCTCGGCGTGGAAGCCCTCCCAGCTATCCCCACGTGACAGATGGGGACACTGAGGCCCAGGGAGGTCAAGTGACCCGTCCGGGGTCACACAGCAGGATTCCACTTCTGCCTCCCCAAACCTCCTGCTGCTCTTCAACTGTCTCCGTTGATTGAGCACCTGCTGTGTGCAGGGCCCTCCCTGAGTCCTGCCAGGCAGGAATGAGTGTGTGCCCGGGGTCGAGAGGGCAAACCGAGGCACCCACAGGTGAGGGCTTGGCAGGTCTGGCCTGGCAGCGGCGCCTCCTTCCCCGGCTCCTTTCCCCGTCGCCCCCCTCCCCGTGCCCAGGGCCGAGGGCACATTTCCCGCCGGGAGCCGCCCTCGCTGAGTAGGTTAGGAGCCTGCATCCAGCCCGGCCGCGGCGCACCATGCACACTCCCTCCTTCCCGGGCCTGCGGCGGGGGCCGAGGGGGAGCTGGAGGAAACAACTAGAACACGCTGGCTCCCGGGGGAAACGGGGGGAGACCCGTGCCGGGCAGGGCCGAGGCTGTGCTGCCCAATTCCTCCCGGACCCAGGCGCCATCAGAGAGGGGCCAGCAAGGCCCCCGACTCTGGGAGGCCGGAGAGGCCCTGTCTGCAGAGGGGCCCGGCTGAGGATCCCGGGGGGCCCGGAGCAGCCCCCACCCCCCGGCCCCTCCCGCGCTGAGACCTCCCTCCTCAAGGCCGTCCCCTCGCCGTGAGCACTGCGCCCCGTGCCACCAGCCGATGACCGGGGACCCTCCCCGAGATAGGCCGCAGAACAGGGCGGGAACCACACGTGATCCGTTTATCCAGGATTTTAAGGTGCACACATGCACGCGACCACCACCCCGGGCGACTGGAACAAAACCGGCCCAACCACGGGCGCCTCCCGACCCCCGTCCCCTTCCCCGGGAGCCGAGGCTCCAGCCACCATGTCTGGAGGCGACTGGTTTTCGCGAGGGGGGTGGGGCGCTCCTGGTATCCGGAGGGTGGGGGCCCAGGACGCTGCTCAGCACCCTGCGGTGCCCAGGACGCCCCACCACGGGGAATGAGGGGACCCCTGGTGTCCACAGTGCTGATGGCAAAACCTTCCCCCAGTTGTCACCACAACCCCCATTCTGGAAGGAGCATTTCTTAGATTTTCTGATTCTCCCCCTGCACGTGACTCCTTAAACACTAGGATTTCCCCTGTTGCCCGTTTCTAACACTGAACACCTGGAATAGCTCTGTGCCTCACTTCTGTCACCCACCCTCCTGTCCCCCGCGAGCCAAGCACGTATGGCTGTGGGTGGCAGTGGTCATTCTTTTGCCTTGCTGTATAATATTCTTCCATGCGGCGTGATTTGTTGCTCTGTGCTCCTGTTGAGGAGCATTCGGACTGTCTCCAATGTGGATGCTGTCACCACCCCTGACGGGTCTCCCGGGGCCCCTGGGCATGACCGTCCCCAGGGTATAGACCCAGAAATGGGGATTCTGGGTCATGGAGCATGCTGTGGTCTGCCCCACTGGGTGCAGCAGAGGTTCTCTGGACGATACGGTGCACTGGCAGTGGCCACGTGGGGGCTCCCGGGGCTCCACAGTCTCGCCCACACGTGGTGCTGGCGGGTCCTTTGTCTGGCCCGCCCGGTGGGAGCGGAGTGGCTTCTCCTTCTCAAGGGGCTTGATCTGCATTTCCCGTGATAGACGGGGCTGGGAGCCTTTCTGGATTCGACGAGCCGCGGAAGAAGGTTCTACGTGTCGACACGGTTCCATCTCATTCTCTTTGGTTGCCTCTTGCCCGACTTGCTCAGCTCTCCGGGACCTGAGCGCCGCCCGCCTGGCCTGCCCCGCCCTGCTCCTCGCTGCCTTCCCGCCATTTGTTACTTTATTTAGCAATCATGTGGCTCCCGTGTGCCGGGCGCAGAGCTCAGCATCGGGGTCCACAGGGACCAGACGGCCCCGCCTTCCCAGAGCTCGCCGAGCGCCAGGCGTTGGCCGTGCGGTGCCCTCTGCCCGGTGCCCCTGAAGTGCTCTCCCACACCGTCCCCTCTGCCCGCCCAGGTCCTTCCAGCCCCTCGCACCCACCACCCGTCCCAGGTCAGCCGTCCTGGCCGCTCTGGTCCCTGATGGCCCTTCAGGCGCCACACATAACGGGATGGGAGTTGCGACCACACGGATCACAGCCCCCAGCTCCGGCAGGACCCAGCACAGCTCCAGCCACTCATGCATCCATTCAACACGCATTTCTTGAGCGCCTACTGTATGCCTGGTCCTGCACTATGAACCAGGGATGCTGCGGGGACAGACAAACATCCCTGCCCTCGTGGGGCTGAGGTTAGGGTGGGGGACGTGGACAGTGAGGTTATTAATAACTGTAACAAATAGTTCGTCAGGAAGTGATACGTGCGGGGGGCGGGGGTAGACTTGGTAAGGAAGATCGCAAGCACCAGGAAGTGGCATTTTTATCAGGCGGCCAGGGAAGGCCTCGCCCAGCCATAGAGGAGAGAAGGAATCAGGTGGGACACAGGGAAGAGCATTCCAGGCAGAGGGAGTGGCCTGTGCAAAGGCCCTGAGGTGAGGACATCAGGTGGCAGGAGCAGAGTGAGCGAGGGGGGAGCGTGGGGCGAGGGGAGGGTGGGGAGGGGACCGGCCGGATCGTGCGGGGCCTCGGGGGCCTCGGGGAGGACTCTGGCTTTTACCTGGAGGGCCGTGGAAGCCCTGAGGGGTTCTGAGCAGAGGAGGGACGGGCCTTGACCCCATGCTCATGGGCGCCCTCTGGCAGCCATGCTCAGTAATGGCCAGCCCCACCTTCTCCTGGGCGCCCCTGATGGACCCCCGCGCTCACCGTGGCCCACCCTGACCCGGGCCACCCAGGGAGGCGCCAGGCGGCCTGCAGAGGGGGCAGGCTGCAGGGCACTGCTTGTCAGGCAGAGACCCCCCGGGCTGGGGTCAGCCCGGGAGGTTGGTCGTGTCTAGGAAACCCTACATGGGAACCATTGACCACCTGGGAGGCCAGCAGGTCGAGGGCACTGGGGGGTCAGACCGTCAGGCCGGGGATGCGGCCGACCCTGAACCTGGCTGGGGCCTCCTCTGGTCTGCACAGGGCTTGTGCAGGGGTGTGGGAGGTGTCCTTCGCTTTGGCCACCAAACCGGCCTATAGGAGTCATTTTGTTAGAGCTTTGCCGCCATCTGCTGGACAGTTTCATTCACAACATACAAATCTGCCCTGGAGACAGGGTGGGCGGGGCCCTTGTGCAGTGCGCGCCCTGCCCCACCGCACGTGGCTGCCGTGTTTCCTCCTCTGGGTGCAGACTGCTCCTTGGGGACTTTGCTGGAGCCGCACAGCCCAGTGGGCCCTCACTAGGTTCCCGGGGGCTCTGCGGGAGCAAGCCAGTGATCTGCCGCCCCCTTGTCTTTATCCCCTGCAGGTGCTGCGATATTTTGACTACGTTTTTACGGGCGTCTTTACCTTTGAGATGGTGATCAAGGTGAGTGCCAGGGATTCTGCGCCCTCAAGAATGCCACCCGGGCACGGGAGGCTCACCCAGGGATTAGAAATGCTTGGTGCGTTCGAGGAGCAGCGAGGAGGCGGGTGTGGCTGGAAGGAGTGAGTGAGGAGAGTGGGGAAGCGGAGGGTGGGGAGATGAGGGCAGGGAGGTCACGGGGACCGATCATGCAGGGCCTCGGGGGCCACAGGAAGGACTTTGGCTTTTACCCCTGGTGAGGTGGGAGCCATGGAGGGTTCTGGGCAGAGGAGGGATGTGACTGGCCTCGGGTGCTCACGGGCGCCCCCCGGCTGCGGTGGGGGCACAGACGGGGGAGGGCAGGGTGGGTGGGAGCAGGCGACTGCGCTGGTCCAGGCGGGCGAGGGTGGGGCAGACCAGGGTGGTGGAGAAGGGGGTGAGAAGCGGCAGATCCTTGAAGGTCTGGAAGGCAGAGCCAGCAGGGTTTGCTGATGGAGCGAGTGTGGGGCGTGAGGCAGGCGGGATCTAGGGGGACCCCCAAAGTTTGCACCCTAGAAGCAGCAAGGCAGAACTGTGGCGGGGGCTCCTCACTGCCCCCAGGTCCCCCTGCGGGATGAGGGGGTCCCTCAGCCCCCCGCCCCCTCCTGTCGTCCCTCCCAGGGCTAGAGTGTGGGTGCTGCTCCCAGGGTGGGCGTGAGGGGTCTGAGCACCGTCTCGCCTCCCCCCGTAGATGATCGACCTGGGGCTCGTCCTGCACCAGGGCGCCTACTTCCGCGACCTCTGGAACATTCTGGACTTCATAGTGGTCAGTGGGGCCCTGGTGGCCTTTGCCTTCACGTAAGTCTCCTCACCCCCCGCCCGCAGCCCGGGGCTGCCCGTCGGGTCAGGGAGCGTGCTCTCAGGTGCAGAGACGGGGAGCGCGGGCGCCGGGGCGCGGGAGGCGTCCGCATGCCGCCAGGAAGAGCTTCGACTGGCTTTTGCATGACGTCCCCCGTGGAAGAAGAAGGAGAAGCCCCCTTCTGCCTCCTCAGGCAGCCACCTCGCCGGCCTTGCGGTGCTGCTTTGGTAGACTAGCCCCCCCGCCATCTCATCTTCCTTCCGCCCTGCAAGCTCCCCCCAGCCGCTGTCTCTTTGGGGAGCCCCTGAAAAGACAATCAGGAAAGGAATGTGCATGAGAATTGGACCCCACCCCGTGCCCCGCAGTTGTAGACCTGGTGACTCCCTGTGTGTCTCTCACTCCTCCCGGCAGTCCTAGGACGCTCTGCCCTCTGAAAGGCCGTGCACTGTCATGCACTTCCAAGATGGCACCCAAGGGCTGGGCAGCCATTCCAAGATGGCTCCTGAGTCCTAGATGGCCATTCCAAGATGGCACCCAAGTTCTGGGCAGCCATAAGCTCTTAAGGCCCTGGTAGCAAACTTAGCAGTACGTTCCTCAAGTTGTAGACATTTGGGGCAGGATGAAAAGGCCTCCCAGCCCCTAATCCAGAAAAAAACCTTCTTGGGGCCCCTGTCTGTGCCCATCACAGTGGATGGTTCCCAGAAAGGAAGGTCTCAGAGGGGTTCTGGCCCCCCTCACCCCCATAGCAAGAAATCAGGGGCTTCGTCTGTGCCTCTGCCTCCCGGCTCCCTCTCAGCAGGTCTGTGGGGGCCCTTGAGTAGCCCCCCAACCAAACAGTGAGGGCTGGGTTTGTCAGGAGGGCCAGAGCGGTGGCCCATTTCCGATTTAGGGGCCCACTCTCAGATTCTTCCCTGGAAGCACAGCGAGGTCGAGTTGTGCAAGAGGAGCAAGAACTCTCCAGTTTCTGGAAGCCTCCGGGCTGGTGGAGACAGACCGTGAGGGTCGGGAGGCTGAGTGTGCTTCTGCCTCTGGCCAGACTTCCCTCCCTTTTCTCTTTATCTTGTGCCTTCTCCCCCTCTCTCCGTGTCTGCTCTCTTTCCACTCTCTCTCTCTTTTCCTGTCTTCCTCTCTGCCTTCTCGCCTCCCTCCTCCTCTCTCTCCCGCTTTTGCAAGTAATTGAGTCTTTATTTGAATATTAGAGAATGAAAGAGATCGTAAAAAGGAAAAAATCAAGAAGTTTGTCTACATTATCATTAAGATGTTCTGTAGGTTAAAAAATAATAATAATAAAATAAGGTAAAATGCACAGCAAATTAGAAGAGAAAGACTGCCAGAAATCAGACAAGGAGTCAGTGGCCTTCATATGTAAAAAGCAATTACAAATCAATAAGAAACACTAAACCTCAATAGATAAATGGGCAAAGGATTTACACAGAAATTTCACAGAATGCTGACAACTAATAAATGTGGGGAAAAAATTCAACCTCATTGGAATTCGGAAAAATGTAAAATACAAACGATATCATTTGTTTCCAATCAAGTTAGCATGAGGTTCTTCAAAAAAGATTTTTTTAAAGATAACACACAGTGTACGTGAGCCTGTAGTGAAGCACACTCCTCCCTCCCGCTGTCAGCTGTTTGAGCGGCTCCTGCGAGGTGTCCGGTGGGCACTGTGCGAGGCCATGAGAGAGTTTCCGTTCTGAAAAGCCAAAATATCTTACCACCCTGGCCTGGAGTGAATCCTCCTCCTGCGGAAACACCCGGAGTGTTTCTCTGCCACTCGCTGTCTCTGTCTCTCAAATCCGCTCGCCCCTGTTCCTCCCTTCTCCTCCTGTCTCTCCTTCCCTCCCTCTCCCTGTCTGTCTGTCTGACTCTCTCCTTTTGACTCCTTTTTCCCCCTTTCCCCTATTTTCTCTCTCTTCTCTCTGTTTATTGCTTTCCCTTTCTGTCTCTCTCTCTGTCTCCATCCCTCCCTGCCTCCTTCTTTCTCTCCCTCCAGCAGCCCCCAAGTCACCCAGGGCTCAGGAGGGTGAGGGGGACCCTGGCGGCCACACCCATCTGTCCACACGAGACCGCCCTCTGCCGGCTGGCCGTGGGCGGTGGGCTTTGCCCTCCGCGCCGCCTCTGGGTGTGGTGTCTGGCGCCCAGCGGTCACCGTGGCTGTCCCCTCCCAGCCCTCTGTCGGAGCCGACACGCTTCGGGCCGAGGAGGGGCCCCGTCCACCTCCATCCCCCGGTTGGACCCTCACGATTTGGGGAAGGGGTGGCCTTCCCAGGACGAGCCTTTCACCGTCGAGCTTTGCTGTGCCGGGCTGGAGTGTGCGGTCTGCGTTCTTTCGAGGCTCTGGAGCCGCAAGTAGGCTGTGCTTTAAGCAAACCCAATCTGCACAAGCAAAGCTCTCTTCCACCAAAACCATCCGCAGGATGATTCTTCACATCGCACAAGAATCTGCCACAGGGAGCAGATTAAGTATTTGAATTTTCTTTTTAAACATAAAGTTATATAAGAGCGTTCAGAATGAGCCTGTGACTCACGGAAATTCGGCAGCGTTCTCGTAGTGTCAGCCTTTTAAACTGGTCTCATGAAGTTGCTACAGGCCCAAAGCTAGCCAGCCCACAGCCTTGAACATCCCCGTCTTGGATGATTTCTTAAAATTCCTGTGCAAGGGAAGGTTGGGGACAGGGATTTAAGGCCATCCTGTGAGCCTCGGCGAGCTCATAGATCTCGCAGGAACTGGGGACTGTGGGATTTTTCCAGTGGGATTCTGACAAGTGCCAGGGATGCTCGTGGGGTTTGGGGAGAGCTGACAGCCCTGGGAGCACCTTACTGTGAGGGTTATAGGGCTGGGAGAGGTAGACCGAGACCCACTCCTGCGATGCCCTCCCCACCTCACTGCCAATGATCCATCTGACGCTGCCACTCCTCCAGGGCAGGGCTGCAGGTCTGGCGCAGCTGGCCAAGCACCTTGATCAAGCCACTCCTGCATGCCTGGGGCCAATCTACCAGAAAGCCAGAGAAGGAGCCCTCGAGCAGCTACTTTTTTCCCCAGAAAAGTTTCAGAATCCTCTCCCTGGCTGCAGGCTTCTGGCCTCTTGCCTGAGGTCTCTCGACCTCCGAGGACTTCGCTATTGTCTCTCCTCGTCACCAGATGGATGTCACATTGGCAGGAGTAGGGGACGCTCTGAGGGTCTCAGCTGAGTGTCCAACCCCAGAGTCCTTTGCCTTTTTCTTTTCTGGTCTTTTAACTCATGTTATCTGTCCTGTGTGCCCATATCCTGGGGCTGAGACCCCCAACAAGTGTTAGATTAACCTTATTGTTTTAGAAAAAGGTTCCTGCAAGCCTATCTGGTTTCTCTCTAAGGTGCACGTCCCTTAGCGTCTCTGTGCTTCAGTTTCCCCATAAAATAGAAAACCTTGACTTGGTAAGAACAATTCAACAGCCTCCATTTATTTAATCTTCACAACAATCCACGTGGGAAGTCGTCGGCTTATTCCCACTTTGTGGATGAGGAGACTGAGGCCCAGAGGGATGGTGGAGGGAAGCGGGATCTAGCAGGGTCTCTAAGGCCGGGTTCAGCTGTCAGATTCGGGGTTGCTCCCATCTCTGAGCCCTGAACACAGAGGCTTTCAGAAGTCAGCAGAATGAGACTTGGCAGCCCAGCCAGCCTGGGATCCTCGGGCCCCAGCAGGGCCCGGAAATCCCGGGGAAGGGGCATGAGGCTGTTCCCTTCCTCGTCAGAAGGAAGCTTGCTGTTCCAGCCTTGTAGGGTGGAGGCAAGGATTCTGCCCCAGTGCCGTGGCTGTGGCCCGGCTCAGATGTGGGAGACTCTCCCTGTGGTCCTCCAAGGGCTGTGTCGAGGCTCTCCCGCCGGTCGTCACCCCCTGCACCTCGCCCAGACCTGTGTGTGTCCTGCTCCGTCCCGTGACTGTGCCATGTCCGTGTGGCGTCATTCCCACACCATTGCATTCGCCATCACCCGTGAGATCACGCTCTGTGCATCAGGGCGGCCACTTGACATCTCTCAGCAGCTGGAGGGTGATGATCCTGCCGTCACTGCCAAGAGTCCATCTGGCGCTGCCACTCCTCCCTGAAGGCAGGCCGGCACAGCTGGCAGCGCACCTTGATCAAGCTGCTCCTGCATGCTCGGGAGCCAAGCTGCCAGGAAGCCAAAGAAGGAGCCCTCAGGCTGCCTTTTTTTTAAATGCCCATCCTCAAAACTGCCTCCGCCCTGAAGGCATTATTTTTCTCATATGTGATGAAATGGAAAGAAGATTAGAGTGCAAGGTGCAAGATACGCACGCCTGGGTTTGAGTCTCAGTCTGCCACATCCCGGCTATGTGACTTTGGGCGAGTTGCTCTCCTCTCTGGGCCTCAGCTTCCTCATCTGGAAAATGGGCATCATGGTGCCACCTTCCCCCAGGCAGGTGCAGTGATGTTCAGAAGACTCACATGTTACACTGAGATCAGCAGGTTAGGCAGAAATCAGTGCCGTTGAAAGGTCCCTCAGTCATCCGTGAAGGAGCAGCGGCACCATTCCACGCGTGCAGTAAGTCCTGGGTGCACTGAGCTTCAGGAGTCACCGAGCTCAAATAAAAAGGTGGGCAGGGGCCGGCCCGGTGGTGCAGCAGTTAAGTGCGCGCGCTCCGCTGCGGTGGCCCGGGGTTTGCAGGTTCAGATCCCAGGCGCGCACTGACGCACCGCTCATCAAGCCGTGCTGTGGCAGCGTCCCGTATAAAGTGGAGGAAGATGGGCACAGATGTTAGCCCAGGGCCAGTATTCCTCAGCAAAAACAGGAGGATTGGCAGATGTTAGCTCAGGGCTGGTCTTCCTCAGGAAAAAAAAAAAGGAGAGGAGGGAAAAATCCAGTGGGAATATTTGTAGGCATTTAAGGTGTTCTGTGTTTTTGAAACATCACTAACTTCAAGAGGATGGCGGGTGGAACTTTCTGTGTCGGATCCTCTTGGCGGTAGGGCTTCCAGCGTTCTGATGGTGGTCAGGTTTTCCGATCGGCCTTGATCTCCAGCCGTGGTTGGAGGGTCATGATGAGCCCGAGCCTGCTTCCCAAGCTGTGTTGTGCAGGGACCAGGGGCCGAGGGCCTCCCCCAGCCCCGCGTCTTCTCAGAAGACTCTTGAGAGCTGCCCCTTATGTCCCCCGGGTGGGGCCTCTCTGCTGCCCCTCCTCCGTGACTGAGGGGCCGAGCCCAGGCCCTGGGCACCGTGCACCGAGCAGCAGGACCCGAGGCCTCTTTTCCAGATGAGGACAGTAATTAAAGGCAGGACCTGGGATTCAAACCCATGTCCCCCCAGCGCCAAAGCTTGCAACCTCAAGATATTCCAAACCCTCCGGCCCCAGAACTTCTGGAGAAAGGGGCGTGTCCGGCTCTTGGCAGTGACCTTCAGCGGCAAAGTCACCCTTGTAGTTGGTGCCTTTCTGGCCATCCTGCTCCTTGGACATTTGGCTTTCTCGGTGCTGTTGGGCAGTGCCGGGGGCCTGCCAAGGGCAGGGGACTGGACCGGGCTTCCCAATGGAAGGGTGGACGTCGGCCAGAGCCGCGAGCCCGAGGCTGCCCCCGCCCCGGTGCCCAGGTGGGCAGGGGGCGCCCGGGTGTGCGTGTGTGCACATGTGTGTTCTGTGTTCTTTCTTCTGAGGCCGCTTACGATCTGTCTCTCCCTCCGACGCCACCCACCAGGAGCAGTACACGGTAAAGTCTCGCTCGCTCGCTCTCTCGTTCTGTCTCTCGTTCTCCGTGCCGTGCTGCAGCCACGTTGGTTCTGGGACTATTTCTGTGGCCTTGTGTCCTTGCTGCTGTGCTGTTGCTGACAGTGACCACAGCCCCTTCAGCCTGCTCCCCAGGGAGGAGGAGCGCAGAGGGGTCTTGGCCACTGCCTCCCACCATGACCCACCATTAGCCCAGCTCTTGGGGGAGAATAGAAAGGGAGTGGCTGGGGTACGTCCCCAGGGTCTGATTTTGATAGGGCAGCTGAGTGGGGCGGTGTGGTTATCAGAGAAATGAAAGTGTCCAGCCTCCCAGATGGGAGAAGGGTGAACAGTCCAAACAACCAGGACTTGGGCTCTAAGAAGAGAAAGTAACCCCCTTGAGGAGCATCTACACTCTTGGCAAAGTGGTTTGAAAATCTGGTTGTTTTGTGAAAGCACCTTGATCAAGCCACTCCTGCGTGCTCAGGAGCCAAACTACCGGGAACACTCTCCTCGATGCCACAGTAAACAGGATTGTTTCTCAGCCTCTGCAAAGGCAGAAGGGCCTCCTAGGAGACAGACCCCACAATGGCTGTGAGTCTTTTTCAGATGAGCACATGTGCCCCAGGAGGCGTGTTCCCGAATGTTAGCCATTCGGCACATCAAGATTTTGGCCAGTTCCACATACAGCCTCGATGTTCACTTGCTTGAGATTTCCCCTCCGACGCAGAGTCTAAATTTCATTTTAGTTTTGCTAGGAAACTTGCTGTCATCCCCTTACAACCAGTATTGTTCACCTCAGATAGAACCACGACCACAAAAGCAAATCCAAGTGGAATGAGGCAGTGGCATTGCAAGTTCTTGCCTTCAAGCTGGGTTTTGTTAAAAGGGAAAGGAGCGAGTGTGAGGGCGGCGTTGAAGAGCTACCAGCACACACCAGAGACTTCCTGTCTCACCAAAGCAGAAGGCCCGAAAGATGAAGAAACAACTGTTTCCCTGCGTGATCAGTTGTTTCATTGTGCCCCTGTTCTGCCTAAAATTATCTCCGTGACCCTCTTGATGTGTGTCTCGAGGGGCACAGCCTTGAGCTCATAACGATGGCTTTTGTTTAAAAAAGAAAGAACATGTTCAGACCGCTGAATTCTGGAGTGAAGCTGTGCCTGGCAGGCTAGCATCCAGTGCTCTTTATTCCCTGGAAAATGAGAGAAAGGAAGCCCAAAAAAGTGAATGGCACAAAGAATGATGTTTTTGCACTGGACACACCGTGGGGGGGGGGGTCTCTGGGGCAACCCCACCTGTGACCCACGAGAGAACTGTAGGGAGGTGTTCACTAGGAGACCCCCAAAGAACTCTGATCTGGGTCCGTTCCTGTGCGTCTGGAGACCACGCGCCAGGTGCACGCTGGGGGCCGGGGCGAGGACCAAGATTAAGGGGGAAATGGACACACAGAAGAATAAATCACAGTTTAAGCCTTGAGAAGGTTTCTGTCTAAAGCCAAAAGCAAAGAGAGAAGTAAAGATGATTCCGAAACAGCGATCGGGTCTGGCAGGACCCAGAGGCGGTTAGGGGAGGTTGGCGGATGGAGGGACATTTACGTTGGGCTCTGAGGGCTGCGTAGCCCTGTGAGTGGAGACGTGGAGGAAGGGCATTTCTAGCAGCAGGAACAGAATGTGCGATCGCAGACAGAGGCAAAAGAGCGTGGCTGGGGTTTGGGGTGTGTAGCCATCGATGGGAATGCAGAGGTGAAGGTAGCTTGGGCTGGATTTCAAAGAGCCTTGAATTCCAGGCTAGAAGTTTGCATTCTGGGAATTCAGAAGGATTCAGAATTCAGAAGGAATTCAGAAGGAGTTCTGCTCCAGGAGGATTCTGAGCAGGAGCGCGACGTGGATGTTGGGTTTGGCCACTGTGCACAGAAAAGATGGAAGAGGAGAGAGACAGGGAGTCGGGGGGAGTTGGGAGATGGGTAGTGGGGGTCCGACCTGAGACGGTGGGCAAGAACAGGTGGGGGGGTGGGGGGGCCCCAGTGGGTGGGGTGGAGGACAGGAAACCGAACGTGACTGGGGTTTCTGTCTTGGGCGACTGGGTGGGTGGTGAGTTTCATTAACCACAAGCGTCTGATGGTGGCACCCAGTACCCTCCTCTTGGGGGCTTGACTCGCAGTTGGCTAAGGGTGTCATGGCGTCCCCAGGGTCTGCATGGCTGACGCTTAGGCCCAGCAGACCCCAGACTGGATTCCTGGGCAGCTCCCTTAGAAGGATGGGCTAAGAGACCCTGAACGAGGCAGTGGTTCGGCTCAGCACCTGGTGTCCCAGCTCCTTCCTTGCCTGTGGGCTCAGAGGGTGTTGCAGGAAAGAGAGGAGTCTGGCTTAAGGGCCACTCTGAGCATTTCCTGAATCCTGTTGGAAGGAGTGGGGGGGTGGGAATCCCATTTTCTAGGAGCCACCAAGACCACCTCCAAAGAGAGGGGCAGGGAGCAGCCCACTCCCCTGCACTGGGTCTGAGGGCCATCCCATGCAGCTGCTCAGGCCCAGCCAGATGGTGGAGGGCCCTCACCACGCCCTGAGACCAGAGCCACAGGAGGCTGTCTGCTCACCAGCTCTCGAGCCCAAATGTAGCAGGAGTGCTGCCCACTCTCCCAGCAAGGGCAGGGCTGTGCCGGGCTCACCCCAGACTCCTAGGCCGGGGAGGGTGGGGTCACCTGGGGTGTGGGCCACCCACCACCCAGCCTGACCTCTGCTCCTTCTCATCCCTTCTCACCACCCTAACATCCCTCCACAGTGGCAATAGCAAAGGAAAAGACATCAACACGATCAAATCCCTCCGAGTCCTCCGGGTGCTACGACCTCTTAAAACCATCAAGCGGTTGCCAAAGCTCAAGGTGAGATTGGGGCATGGGGGAGGCCTGTCAGGGTTGCCCTGTACAGTTGAGCAGGCTGTGCACTGCTCAAGGACACTGTATCACAGCCACCATATATGGATATATTTATTATTCCAACTTTCCAGCAGATGGCGGTAAAGTGGGTTAATCTATCAAAATCTGTATATTATGACGATTTTCCATTGGACGAAATGTCTTATGCAAGGTCAAGGATCCCTTTTCCTAATTCACATGAAGGCGTCTTATGGATAAAACAATCTGAGAAGCAGGAGACTAAGTTCCTGGTCCCACGTGACCTTTGACTTTTCACCTACCTGTTCTAGGCTCCAAGAGCTTCTGTTTCTAAATAGCATGAACCAGCACTTCCCAAAAGCTTGGCGTTCAAAAAAAAAGAAAGGAAACGAAACCTAGTCATCCGAACACCCCTTTTCAATCTATATACCGCCTGATGGCCGCTTGTATGCTCTCTTACTTAATGTGTTTCTTTACATCAAGTCACTTTATTTTTTACTTAAGTGGATTTATTTTAAGAGGAAATGCTTTGTCAAGTTTCTCGAGTTGGAAAACCAGAACCCAATGTTAATAGAAGGTGAAACTAAATATCTGTTCCAAAAGGATGAAGACACTGTTATTAAAATCTAGCCAAATATGGCTGCCTGACAAAGGCTCTGCGCAGAGAGGCTTGCTGTTTCGTGGTTAAAAAGGAAAAGTATCCATGTTTAGGTGTTAACATAGTATCAACTAAGGAAGCCTTTCTGCTTCACTCGAAAGGATTGAAAGAATTGCCAAGGGAGGAACTTTGTTACCCTGTGGTTCGCTGTTACTTAGAGCTGGGCTCCTACAGGACCTAAAAGTCCGTAGATATCCCCAGGGGTGTGCCCCGCCCCCACGATTCTGCAAATATTGATACAAATGCCCCTTTTTTGTTGATGAAGGTTAACAGAGAGATTTGGCCGCCTTTGGACGTGCAAGCTTGCTGGCACTGAAGTGTGTGGCCTTCCGGCAGTATCCGGTTCACTTCTTCACCGTTTTCTGGGTCACAGCCCCCTGTGAAAGCCCCATAAAAGCTACCCTGGGGAGAGCTGGCAAAGCTAGCCTGTAATTCCAGTAGGTTCCACGATTTGCCCACGGGTGTTAGGACCCACAGTGATTAGGAATAGAATGGGGTGGGAGCGCTTCAGCCTGGGCCCCGCGCCTCCTCTGGGGGATGGTGGGAGGACTCCGTCTTACCCAGGGCGGATCTCCCGGGCACATGAGGTCGTCTCGCAGATCCAGAGCGCCCCCAAGTGACCAGTGGGCAAAAGGCCGGAGGCCGCAGCCCAGCTGATGGGAAACAGTGTGGCGTGAGGCAGGGACACAGAATTAACAGGAAAAGACTCTCTGTTGAGGACTTTACTCTTGCCCTGAAGAGCCGTGCACCTAACTTGGAGGGGCTTAAAGAGGCTTCATTTCCCAGGGGCTGAGATCGGGGGCTCAAGACGCATAGACACAGCTTGGGTCCAACCCTGGCACTTACTTCTCAGAACCTCATGGCCTTGACTGGGCCGTGTCCTTGTCTGTAAAATGGGAGTGATGAGGACGCTTGGTGTTGTGGGCTGCGGGAGGCCGCGGCCGGGCAGCCCCAGCCCTCACGCCCTCTCTGCCCGCCCAGGCCGTGTTTGACTGCGTGGTGAACTCGCTCAAAAACGTCTTCAACATCCTCATCGTCTACATGCTGTTCATGTTCATCTTCGCTGTGGTGGCCGTGCAGCTCTTCAAGGGGAAGTTCTTCCACTGCACCGACGAGTCCAAGGAGTTCGAGAAAGATTGCCGGTGGGTCCCCACTCGCCACGCGTCCCCGTTCAGGCTGGGGGTGGCAGTGGCCAGAGGCACCAGCCGCTTGGGCTTGGAACCCAGGGCGCTGGGCACTGGGAGTGACCCAGCTGCAACCAGCTTGGATCTGGAGTGGAAAGAAAGGCCTTTCTGCACTGGAGCGGCTGCCCATCGCTTCGGGACGAGCCGTAAGCTGGTTGCCTAACCTTTGTCAGGTGGGGGATATCAATACACCTGCACGTTCCCTTATTTGAAACCTTTACAGGCAGATGTGTTTCAAAATTCAGAATATTTTGAGGTTTTAGAGAGATGGTAGGGTGCACGTCCCAGGTAAGACAGATCACCCTCAGCTCGGCCTGAGGCAGTCCTGTAATCAAACAGCATATTTCTGCCGGGAAACATGCAATATTTGCACAAATGGGATAAATAACAAGTTTGGGTGGCTGCTTCTTGGAACTGGAAGGATGGCAGGTGTCGGGCGAGGGGTCTGGAGCTAAGCCTTGTTTCCTGCCCCCTGGGCCTGGTGACCCCAGAAACGGGCCGTCTCTCTCCCTGCCCTTCCCCTCCCCGATCCTGAGGCTCCTGCCCTCATGGTGAAGTGTCTAGGCTGGAGAAAGGCGCTCGACTCACGCAGCTGGCTCGCCCACTGGTGCGGAGCCGTGGCATCGACCATGGGTTTGTCTCCAAGTGGGGGCTCACGTGCCCCCAGCTGCGGGAGGCCCCTCGTCCCCTCCTGCACTCCCTCACGGCCCCTTTCCCCGCAGTGGCAAGTACCTCCTCTACGAGAAGAATGAGGTGAAGGCACGGGACCGCGAGTGGAAGAAATACGAGTTCCACTATGACAACGTGCTCTGGGCCCTGCTGACTCTCTTCACCGTGTCCACGGGGGAAGGCTGGCCACAGTAAGCCCCGGCCGGGAGAGGAGAGGCGCTGCGGGTGGGTGCTGGGAATCTGGGAGAGGAGGTGGCCCCTGGCAGCCCGAGGTGCAGATCCTGCTGGAGCCCGAGGGGCCGTCGCCACCCTCCCGTGCGGTGGGGCTTGTGGGGCGGAAATCCAGCTTCACTTGGCTGGCCAGGCCGTGAGCATCCAGCTGCATCCTCCCTGGGGGGCGCTGTTTCTGATCTGCAGAAAGTCTCCCCAGACGCGGCGCTCACGTCCTCCTAACCCTCCCGGTGCTGGTGAACACACATCTCCACCACGGGGTGTGGACGTGGCATTTTCCGAGTCTGTTTGACCGCAGGGCCATTCTCTCCCAGGGGCCGGGGCTGGGGGAGCCGGGTGAGGTGGGATCGTGCAAGTCCAGGGGCAGATCCTGTCTCTCTTTAAAATTTTGATATTTTGTTCAAAATGGATTTTTTGGCATTTGTTTTGATTTTTTTAAATATTGCGGTCAAATACCATTTATCTTGGTTATTGAGGATTCTCACGCCCCCTTAATTTGTGGCCGAGGCCAGTGCCTCACTCTCCTCACCTAGTCCCCGTCCCTCCGAGAGGTCTCGGAAATGCCTGGGTGAAGGCTTGATAGATTCCAGTGTGTGCCCTCAGCGTCCTCACCTCCCCCCGCTCTCCGCGAACACTCCAACCCGCATGTGCCTCTGCTCACCCACGCACACACTCATTACACACCCACACGGGGCCAGTGCGAGCCCATGAGGTTCTTTTGAGCAGATTTTTTTTTTTTTAAGATTTTATTTATTTTTTCCCCCCAAAGCCCCAGTAGATAGTTGTATGTCATAGCTGCACATCCTTCTAGTTGCTGTATGTGGGACTCGGCCTCAGGATGGACGGAGAAGTGGTGCCTCGGTGCGCGCCCGGGATCCGAACCCGGGCCACCAGCATCGGAGTGCGCGCACTTAACCACCAAGCCACGGGGCCGGCCCGTGAGCAGATTTTTTAAAGACACCCCTTCCTCAACAGACTTCACCTCCATCTGTCAGAGAATCGTTGCAATATACTTAATGATTTTTTTCAAATAAGGCACTTTATGGCCAACTGTGAAGAAGTTGTCGTCGTGAATACATGAATCTATTGTGTCAACAATACGAATGGCACCAATTAGACACAGAGCCCTTGAGCAGGGCACAACCTGTGCAGCTGTACAGAGCAGCTACGCACATACACCCTCCCATGCACGTCCCCATTTCACCTTCTCAGCTCCCACCACCACTCGTGCTCAGATACCACACACACACACACACACACACACCTCCATGACCCCCTGCTCACTCCCATCCACCACCACAAACCTGGTTTCAGACCTCAACCTGGCCATGTCGGAGTGGGTGATCTTCAGTAAATCACTTTAAATAGCTGAACCTCAGTTCCCTTGTGTGCAAAATGGAGCCAGCAAGAAGCTCCCTGAGAGGGTCGCTGGGAAAATAAGTAAATTGTGGGACATCATTTCTGGCACATAACAGGCTCTCGATACGTGCCGGTGGAAGTGGCTGACACTGTCGTCCACTCTTGACGCTTCCCTCCGTTCCGCCCCCGCCCCCTGCCCCGCGTCCCCGTCCCGGTCCCCGCAGGGTCCTCAAGCACTCCGTGGACGCCACCTTTGAGAACCAGGGCCCCAGCCCCGGCTACCGCATGGAGATGTCCATCTTCTATGTGGTGTACTTCGTGGTCTTCCCCTTCTTCTTCGTCAACATCTTCGTGGCCTTGATCATCATCACCTTCCAGGAGCAGGGGGACAAGATGATGGAGGAGTACAGCCTGGAGAAGAACGAGGTGCCCCTTCCCGCTGCGCCCCCTGTCTGAAATCTGACACACACGGGCACATCCTGCCACACACGCACACGCACGCACACGCACACACGCACGCACACCCACACGCACGCACACGCACGCACAGAGCAGCCCTCCGTGGGGTGTCCAGAGGAAACGCATGGGCAGAAGCTGTATGTATCGGTCAGTTCGGACCAGGTGATGCTGCAGTAACAAGCAGCCCCGGCATCTCGGTGCCGGCTCTCCACAAGGGCTGGTTTCTTACTCGCACCACACGTCCACGGGGCTCTGCTCCCCCCCAAGACACTTCAGATCACAAAGAGAGTCTGGCCAGCCGTGGTCCAGCTTCTGTGCTCGTGCCCAGAAACGCCGCATATCACTTCTGCTCGCATTTCAGTAGCCAGAGCGAGTCAGACGGCCCCCTCTCATCAGTGGGGTGGGGAGGTGTAATTTCCCCCAGGGAGGGGTGGGGAATATTTATGAATGAAAATCCAGTCCACCAGAGTCTAGACATGGCCCTTTGCCCTTCTAGAATCATCCAAGCTAGGTGGAGGACCTAGAGTGCAACTTTCCTCTGCTCTGTTGGCCCCTAAGGCTAAATAACCATCATTCCTCCCTCTCTCCTTCTCTCAAAGGGAAAGAGGAAGAGACGCTAAGTATTCAGTAAGAAAGAATGGTTAGGCTTCAAGGTCAGACTTTGGTTTAAATTCGGGTTTGGCCCGCTCGGCAGCTGTGCCACCTCAGGCAAGCAGCTTAACGTCTCTGAGCCACTGTTTTCCTTGTCTGTAAAGTGGGGCTATTGCTAGGGCCCACGTCCCGTGTTCACTAAGGGGCCTCAGTGAGCTAGTGGGGGAGATGGCAGTGCCGGGTTTGGCAGACGGTGACTTCTCGAGGAGCCACAGTGTTGGGAGAAGCAGGCAGCCGTGGTGAGGACTCACGGGCAGCCCGGGGGTCCTGGCGGGGGGCAGAGGGCAGAATTGGAGCAGGTGTGCCGGGAGCCGTGTTGGGCATGCGGGAGGGCGCTCGGGTCCCCCGCCTCTCCCGCGCGGCGCTCACGCCGCGGGCCTCTCCCCGCAGAGGGCCTGCATCGACTTCGCCATCAGCGCCAAGCCGCTGACCCGGCACATGCCACAGAACAAGCAGAGCTTCCAGTATCGCATGTGGCAATTCGTGGTGTCCCCGCCCTTCGAGTACACCATCATGGCCATGATCGCCCTCAACACCATCGTGCTCATGATGAAGGTGAGCGCCGCCCCGCGTGGCCCCGAAGTCCTGCCCACACGCCCGCCCGCTCCCCACACAACGGGACCATCGGCTACGTCTCCCGGGCAGACCACACGCGTGTCACCGCCGAGCCTTTGCTCCCGCTGTTCCCTCTGCCTGACACGCTGTTCCCACCACTCTGCCTGGCCAGTTCCTTCCAGCTGCACGTGCACAGCCCTTCCTCCAGGAAGCCCTCCCTGGCCTCCCAGGACGGCACAAGGTGCCCGGCTTTGCCAGCATCCTGTGGGTTACCTCACATGCCATATACCAGGGTCAGGTTGCCCAACGGTCTCCACCCATGAGCTCTGAGGCGCCAGACCCGTCCTGGTCACCCCTGGATTCCTGGGGTTCAGTGAGGGCTGGCTCAGAGCGAACAGGAGGCCCTCAACAAATGTTTGATGGATGAAATGAGGAAGGGGGGCAGGCAAGGGTCTTGTGACCCCAGGGCCATGCAGCCTCCTCAGGGTGGAAAGTCAGAACCTTTCCCTCTGGTTTGGAGACCAAGGGCCCGGACTCCAGCCCAGCTCTGCCGTTTAACTCAGCATTAACTTTGCCCAAGTGACCAGCAACTTCTCAGGCCTCAGTTTCCCTGTCAATGAAATGGGAATGATGATGATAGCACCTTCCCCCTCGACCCACGTGGGCATGAGGATTGAATGAGAAAATTTACACAAAGGTGTTAGCACATTTCTCAGTGCTTCAAAAACACTAAGTTGAAGCTGCTCATTTTTGAACTGGCAAAAAAGCAGTGCGTATCTTTGCCTGAAAACTCGCCTCTATAAGCAAATTCTTTCATCGTTTTGTTGTCGTGATTGTGACCAGTTTCAGACAGACAGAAGAGTGGAGAGTGTAGCGCGGCACTTCTCAAACTAATGTGCTCACGGATCATCTGGGGATCTTAAATGCATATTCGGGTTCAGCAGGTCCGGGTGGGCCTGGGATTCTGCATTTCCAGCCAGCATCCCGGTGACGCTGATGCTGCGGGTCCCCGCACCGCACCCTGATGTCCAGGCTCTCATGAAGCCCCAGCCTCCATCACCCAGAGTTACCACCTGCCACGTTTTGCTATGTTTACTTCATCTAATTTTTTTCTTATTTTTTTTATTGAGGTGAAATTCACATCACATCACATTAACCATTTTAAAGTGTATGATTCAGTGGCATTTAGTACCTTTACCATGTTTTGCAACCACCACCTCTATCTAGTTCCAGAACATTCCATCACCCCAAAAGGAAACCATGTACCTGTTAAGCAGTTACTCCCCATTCCCTCTCCCCCAGCCGGTGGCAACCGCTAATCTGCTTTCCGTCTCTATGGGTTTACCTATTCTGGACATTTCATCTATTTTTTAAAGTATTTTAAATGATAGACATGACCCTATTTTGCCCTTAAATTCTTCAGTATGCATTTTTAAAAATCAAGAATATTTTCCTACATATCCTTATGCTTCACAAGATTAGTGATAGTTCTCTAAGATCCGTATGGAATTGTCCCCAAAATGTCTTTTACAGCAAGTTGTTTTTTGAGCCGAGATGTAAACAGCTACACACAGCTTCTGGTTTTTGTCTTTTAAAGCTCCGTTCGCCCCATTCCTTGTTTTTTTTTTTTTTTCCTCGCTGTTGACTTTTTGGGAAGACCAGAGGAGTGGACTGAAAACCATGCCAGCCCCGGGTGCGCTGGTTCCTCGTGGGGCGCTGTGACTCTTCCTCCATCGCCGTATTTCCTGTAACCTGGTACTTAGGTCGAAAGGTTATAGACTCGAATCTGATTAAGTAGTTTGGACAAGAATTTTTCACGAAGATTCAGAATAGTGGTTACCCCGGGCGGGTTATTGGCTGGGAAGGGGTACAAGGAAACTTTTTGGGGTGCTGGAGATGTTCTAAACCTTGGCCTGGGGAGTGGTCTCATGGGAGTGTGCAGGTGAGGATTGAGAGAGAGATCTGGAAAATAAAGAGACTACCGCAGAGGGGGTGCTGAGCAGCCTCCTGCACCCCGCGGGAGCCCCATGGGGCCAGGCTGTCCCGGGTCCGGGAGGCCGAGACAGGACTGAGACAGGAGTTTTCATTTTGATGAGAAAAGCTGAGCCCAGCCGTGAAGAGCTGGCCTGGGGCCCGGGCGGCTCCACAGGATGGCAGCAGGGAGCCACCGAGTCCTGCCCGCTGGGAAGGGACGGCCACAGAGCCCCCCCCCATCCCTGCCCTGCCCGCTGACCCCCCGCCCTTCCTCCTTCCTCCCCTAGTTCTACGGGGCTTCGGTTGCGTATGAAAATGCTCTGAGAGTGTTCAACATCGTCTTCACCTCCCTCTTCTCCCTGGAGTGTCTGCTGAAAGTCATGGCCTTCGGGATTCTGGTAAGTACAGCCTGGGGCTGGAGCCGGGGGTTAGGGGAGCCCGGGGGCACTGGGTGCTGGTCTCCCCACCTGGCCCCATGAGCCGCAGCCCCAGTGGTGGTTTGAGCATCCTCCACACCCACAGACCCGGCTCAGGCGCCTTGTGCCTGTCCAGGAGCACCAGTGAGACCCAGCACGTTCACGGTTACCGTGTGCCGGGCGCGTGTCTATTCAGTCCTTCCTCGAAGTGATCCGATGGGGGGGAGTAACCGTCATCCCTTTTAGACACAAGGAAACTGAGATCCAGACAGGCTAAGTCCATGGCGTCAAACTGTTCTAACCACCATCCGCAGTAAGAAACACATTTTACAGCAGAGCCCAGCACGCAGACGAGCAGGTAGACAGCCGAGATGACACTTTCACAAAATCGGCGTCCACTCTTATCGCATGCCCTGGGCTTTGAAGTTGTTTATTCTACTCGATTCCGTTTCCTCTTTTTTTTAATGCAGCTCATGACCCCCTAACTTGATTTAATCTCCCACTCATGCAAGTGGTCTCAACCTGAGGCCCATTGACCCCCAAAGGGATCTGTGGGGGGGGGGCGTGAAATTAGATGTGAAAAAATTACATATTTTATTTTTCACCAGCCGCTAACTAGACTTTAGCACTTCCTTCCATCTGGAAGGCAGACAACAAACCCTGCAGTATCACCCATACACTCTGGGTCACCGATAGAAATCAGATATCTTCACAATGCATTCAAGAGGGTGTAGGTCCCTCAAAATTTAGTTTGCGTTCATCGTTGCTTCAAAATCATTATTAAACCTACAGCTGGAAGCTATTTCATGTTGAACTGGCTCCTTCAGCTGGAACTTCACGCTGAAGAAGTGCATTCATCGTTAGGTCACCATTTTCTTAAATATTTTGATCACCGTATTTCAGTATAACAGGTCTCCTTGCAGTCCTGGGTACTTTATTTTATGCATTTACAAAGTTTACTCTGAGGTCTTCCCAGATGGCCAAGGAGGTTCATAGCACAAACAAAAAGGTGAAGAGGGCCTGAGCTAATGGGTTGTGACTTGGGGTGACCTCAGAAGGTCCCCAGTGAGTGGCAGGGCTGAGACGACACAGCATGTCTTCCCTGCGGGCCACCCACGTAGCCCACCTCTGAAGAGAAGGGCCACAGCCCGCGGTCTCAGCCGGGTCTCCAGGGGCGGAGGCTGGGTCCTCACCCTGGCTTCCTGGGCTGGTAACAGGCGTCAGATTTGGCACCAGGGAGACCTCGATTCAGATCGTATGTGGGCGCTGTCGCCTCACCAGTCTCTCCTCCATCACAGGAAGGGCCCGTCCTCTGCCTCTCCCTCGGAAGAGCTCTTGCAAACCCCGAATGCAAACAATGTGTGTCTGGAGCCTGAGGATGAAGCCTGGCATGCTCTGAGTGCTCAGTAGATGCTAGGAAGGGTTACGATAAGGCTCCTCACCCACCTCCCTCCTCCCAAGCAGCGGCTCCCAGCCCTGCTCCCCATCAGAAGCAGTTGGGGAGGTTCCTAAAATTGAATGATGCCCCGGACCCAGCCCCAGAGGTTCTGATTCGCTTGGTCAGGTGGGGGCCCCCAAATCTGTATTTTAATGAGGACACCCGGGGGGTCCAAGGTACAGCCTGGGTTGTGGGGCCCTGCACTGGGCACCAGCCGGGGGGGAGGCACCCTGCAGCCAGGGCCGTGGCACCAACTCAGCGTTCCAGTTCTGGGAACGTGTGACCCAGGACAGGTCACAGAACGTGTGTGGGGAAGAACCCGTTCTTGGGGGCAAATCTTGGCTCAGCCTGTCTAGCTGAGTGGCCTCGAACAAGACACTTGGCCTCTTCACTCCTGTGTGCACATCTACAGAATGGGGGTACGTGCACCTCCAGGGCTGGGCGGAGCATGAGCCTCCCCGGTGCAGCTGAGTCATGGCGATGTTTTCACTCCCAGCCGGTTTTCTGGTGGGGAAGTGATTCTTCTACCAGGGGCTGGGGCTCCATCTCCCCAACCCTGACAATCCCATGGGGGCCTGGAGAGTCTCCCTCTTCAATTTTAGATGAAGCCCCAACTTCTCCATGTGGAGTTTAGATGACAGAGGGGAATCTTCTAGTCCAGGGGCTTGAGAGCTGTGGCCAGAAACCTAGAAAGTTGTCTTTGTTTGGGGTCCCCCAGAAGCAGAGCCTGAGGCAAGGATTGAGTGCAGGGAGTTTATGTGGGAGGTGGTCCCAGGAGGCACAGTGGGAGGGAGGGGAGTGAAGCAGGAACCGGAAGGCAGCCAGTACAGGGTGCATTAGGAAGTCCATTCCCACTGTGGGCACTGGGGTGCAGTTCCAGTGGGGGCCTCAGGAGGCGGCAGAGAGCACGGACTTCAGAGTCATCCCACTGGCCGGGGAGGGAGCTGGGGTATTTACCCTCCAGTGCCCATCAGCATGGTCAAGGGTTGCTCCCAGGAGAGCTGTTAATTCCCCAGCAAATATGCAGCCAGAGAAAGCCCCAGGGCAGAGTAACGAAGGCACACAGTTGAAACATGAGGGGATGTGGGCCGGGCCCCAACAGCACCTGCTAAAATACCAAAAATACCAGTGTAGCCTGAATTCTTTCTAGACGACTGCAAGACAACATCCATCTATTGAGCACTTACTGTATACCAACCCCCACACTCAGTGGCTCACATTCATTATCTGATTGTTGTTATACCCCCGTCTTCCAGAGGAGGGCCCTGAGGCCCAACCGGTCCAACTCCGAGGACATTTGCATCATACTTGCTAAAAGGATTTGATCCTGGGCAGCACAGCTCCAAAGCCCGGGGCCTCATCTGTGAGGCAGAGGGGCTGCTGCGGTGTCCGATGCTCAGGGGAGGAGCTGACCACTCAGAAGGGGACCCAAGCTCCGACGTGGCCTCTGCTTTGGGGGGACACTGGGACGGCCTGCGTTGGGTGTGGGTATCGCTGAGCCTGAGGGGAGCCGTCTGTTTGAGCCAGACCTCAAGCCCAGGCAGGGGTGCTGCGTGGTGTGGGCTCAGACAGTGTGAAATAGTTCAGTGTTATAACAACACTGCCGCTGTCCCCGCGTGTCCCGGCTGGACCAGTCAGGACAGGCCACGTTAAGCTGCATAGCAAACAGCCCCCACAGCCCAGTTCCTTCAACCAGCAGAGGTTTTGTTGGCACTCAGCAGGGAGCTCTTGGCCATCTCAGTTACTCAGGGACCGAGGCTTACAGATTAGCCGCCCTCTGGACCCTTGCTGGCCGCCAGGGTTGAGAGAGTTCTGACGAGTCCCTCGCTGACCAGGAAGTGACCCACTTTGCCTCTGCTCACAGCCCACCAGCCATCTACACATGAGGGGCCCGGACGTGCAGCCTGCTGTGTGCCCGGAAAGCCCCTGTGCCCCATTACTGTCTCTCTCCTCCAGGTTAGGAAATGGAGGCACAGAGAGGTTAAGTCACTGGCCCACGGCCACACAGCTGGACAGTAGCAGAGCTGGGAGGTGAACCCGGAGACCGCTCTCTTAGCGAGTGTGCAGTACCCAGGCCTGATTCAGTGGGGTCCTGAGCATAGACTCTAGACTAGCCCAGGCCTGGGTCCAAATCCTGAGTGTTCACCTCCATGCTGCTCGCAGCTCGAGTCGCTCTCTGAGCTTCACTTACCTCATGTAAATGGGTGAAGGTCTTCCTGAGGACCCCAATGACGTCATTTATAAGGCATCTGGGGTCTCAGGGAGACAGGGCACAGCCGGAGGGCAGCCCTCGTCCCCAGCAGAGCTGAAGCGGACCCTGGAGGCCCCTCCAGGCCGGGCGCGACGGGGGAAGGCCTGGGGCCCCGGGGAGGCCACTCAACACAGATGACACTGAGAGCCGCACTGCACCGTTTTGCTGTTTGAATGGCTGTGGTTGTCCCGGGCACTTGAGCTGACAGGCAGCTGTGCCCCTCACATGCCCCCGGGGCCGGCCAGGGGGGCCAGGCGCGGAGCCCCGCGTTGGCATCTCTGTCTTGTGGGTCCTCATTCTAGAATTATTTCCGTGATGCCTGGAACATCTTCGACTTTGTGACTGTTCTGGGCAGCATTACTGACATCCTCGTGACTGAGTTTGGGGTAAGTTTCCAGCCGGCTTCTCTCTGGCCTAGAGGGGGGACGGGGCGGGATGAGGTCATCCAGCAGCATGGGTCCCGACAGCCGCAGCCGGCTCAAGCCGGCGCTTGACCGTGACCAGAGAGGGAGACGGGGCCCCCAGGGGCGAGGGGGGCCCCCGGGAGGGTGGTGGCTCGGGGAGGTGGGATGCCCAAACCACGGCTGCAGGGCCCGCGCTGCAGTGCGAACTTGCCTGCTTCTTGGCTGTTGACTTACGTGTCAATAATGTGGACGAGGGCATGGAGAGGGCTGAGACACTTAAAGGATCCCGTGGCTGAGCCCCCCAAGTCCCACCCAGTATTGGGGCCCAGAGAACAGCTCCACGTCCGTTCTGCTGGAACTCACCATCTTCTGGCTCATGGTCAGGTGGGAGCCTGGGCCCTGGGGCCAACAAGGACGCCTCTCCCAGGCCCTTAGGCGGGTCCCCAGGACGCCCACCTTCCTCCGGGACCGGGGGTTCCCAACGTGGGGGTCTCTGGACCGCTCTGCGGTGGCTCTACAGGCCACACCGTCCTTCCCCCTTGTCTGGAAGATGCAGGGCCCCCGAGCTGCTGTCCCAGACGCCTCCGGGCCACCCGCCAGCCAGCCCAGGCTTGAGGGCCCTCGGGAGGCAGGGGAGGGAGGGGAGCCTCGTGGAGAGGGTGGGAGGGCGAGGGGCGTGGCGGCAAGGGCCGGGCTGGTGTCAGCCTCGTCACAGTAACAGTGACAATGTGAACATCCGACTGGGACGGCACCCGCTGCCTGCCAGGCTCTGTGCCAAGCGTTTTACGTGGATTAGCTCGCGGCCCAGGTCAGGGGCTCAGCACAGAAAAGGAGTCCAGCAGAGGTTCCACTGAAGGGCCTGGGAAGCAGAGACCACCCACGGAGGGGAGGGGAGGCGCCGGTGCCCAGCCACCCTGGGGAGCTGTTTCCTGCCCCCGGGGGCGGGGTTGTTAAAGCAAGGAGGAGACCTGAGCCGGAATGGGGAGGGACCGGCAGGAGCTGTGGGGGGAGGAGAGAGCCCCTGCCAGAGAGGAGGGCAAGGCAGGCAGAGAGCAGCAGTGGAGGGGGGATACCCCCCTTTCTCTCCTCCTGCCCTCTGTCTCCTGACAGCCCCTCCTACTGTCCCAGCCCAGCCAGAAGGGGGCGGGAAGAGGGCCGGAAGGCCAGGGAGCCGGGAGGATGCTCGGAACCAGCAGAGCAGAGTGGAGAACAGGTCTGGGTGGAGTGGGGCCTGAGAGGGTGTTGCCCCATTTCACAGATGAGGAAACTGATGCGCAACGCTCGGGGAAGTGAGGGACCTGCCTAAGGTCACGCAGCCAGACCTGGTGACTCCTCAGGGCACGCTAGGGTTCCCTGGGGTGTCGCCATCTGAGCCCCCAGCAGAAAGGGATGAACTGGCCCACTTTTCCTTCCTGGAGGGCTGGTGGGACTGGGGAGCTACTCACAAAAGGAGGCCATTCTCTGAGGCGTCCCCCAGCCCCCTCCGCGTGGTGTCCTGGCCACACCGCTTTGCCTGCAGCCCCAGTAAGGCAGAAGTTCCCCCTCACCTGCACCTGACGCCTTGGCACCTTCCTCTAGAGAGGTCATGCCCACCCGGGGGCTGTGCCCGGCAGAGGGCCAGGGCCTGGACCTCATCTTCTGTCTGAGGCCTGGAGCCCCAACTTGCAGTCAGAATATCTTACCATCCCCAGCTGAGCACAAGGCAGCCTTGAACCAATGTCCCCCTGCATCAAGAGGTTGGAAAGGGTGTCCCACCACTCCAGTGTGGCAGGTGGAGGAATTTGGTCGAAACCTCCAGTCGCCAGTAAGAGACTCATAGGGCTGGACCCCAACAGCCTGTTCTCCTGGCTGCAAGATGGGGAGGGCAGGAGACTGGGGCATGGGGTCCAATTTGGGGATGTCAGGACCACTGCAGTAGTCAAACAGCCCTCCCCACGAGCTGTGTTACCTTTTCTCGTCCTGTATGTGGGGATAAGCTTCATAACCAACCACATCAGATCCCTGCAAGCCTCGCATTCACCCCTGCATTCAGTAAGCATGGGATGAACACCTGCTGTGTACCAGGCCTCGTTATTGGTGCTGGAGACAGAGCCGTGGACAAAGCAAAACAGACAATACCTGCCCCCGTCTCAGGGAGGGAGATGGCAACTTCTAACAAGTCAGAGCGATCGACGTAAAGTGCTTGGCACAGAACCTGCCAGAATTAGGCAGTTCACAGATGGTGGTTATTATTATTATTTCTGTTGATATTATTACCGTGAATGTCTTTGGGATTGCATTTTGCGAGGCAGCCCCCAGGCCCTGAATTGTAATCATTTGGAGGGAAAGATAGAGGGTGGGCGTTTGGACCCTTTTAGGACGATAAACTCCCAACCTGGAGTAGGGGGAGGCCCGCCCTGCCAGGCAGGGAGCCCACAGCCACCCCTTTCTCCCTCCCAGGTAAGCCCCCCAGGTCTGAGGGCAGAGCTCAGCCAGGCTGAGGCGGGGGAGTCAGGCCCTCCGGAGGGCAAGTCCCAGAGTTTGGGGGGGCGAGGGCGTGGGGCCCACCGGGCCTCAGCTGCACCCCCAAGTGGCCGGGGTGATGTGGGTTTGCCCTGCGTGCGATGGATAATGACTGTGTTTCTTGTCTTGTCTCTTTTCATGCCTGCTCTTTAAACTGTATCTTGGCGCAACGCCGTCTGAAACACTCATCCAATCAAAATGCACTATGAAATCCATTTGTCCATCCATGACGTGGTCTGTGTGCCCATACACCAATGACTATCTCCCAACCCACCACCACCCCACTCCCCGCCCGGGAACCGAAACCCATTGGTTTTTTGGCTCTGGTTACAAATCAACCTAAAAAACGCTGAACTCGCCTTCCCAACCGCCCCCGCCCGCCCGCTCCCCCTCCATCTTCAACATCCGCATCTAGAATCCGGTTGGTCTTACTTCTTTCTGAAGTCTAAATGCCTTACATTAACTGTGGACGCATCCTCTCGCATCAGCATGCTCGCCAAGCCCTGGGCTTCTGACTTGGGTTGCCTGACGCCCGTCCCCCATCCCTACCCCGTCCGTCTGTCGTCCCTCCACCCCCCAGCCCCCTCCCTCCCCACCCCTGCAGTCTCTCTCTCTGGTTGTTTTCTCTGGGTTCTCAATTGGGGTTTTCTGTTTGGGTTGGTTTGCGTCTTCTGCAGAGAAAGGGATGGGTTCCCCCCGTGCAGCGCCCCCAACAGGATGAGTCGGCCGGCCGGGTCTCCCGCCCCATCCCGGCCCTCAGAGCCCTCAGCCACCCTCTCGTCCCTCCTGTCCCCTGTTCGGCTCCGTGGAGAGCTCCACCCGACCCTCGTCCCCTCCCAGGCCCGAGACCTCTGTGGGCTTGGCCGGCAGAGACGGAAATCTCCAAGTCCGATGCAGGAGGTCTGAGGGCCCGGCAGCGTGCGGGCAGGGCTCTCAGGCCGGGACTGGGGGCTGGCTGCTTCCACACGGGCCGACCAGCGAGGCCCTCCAGCAGCCCAGACATGCACACACACGCGCGCCCCCCACACACACACGGGCACTGCACACACATGCCCTCTCCTCCTTCTTGCTCAGTCTCTGCCTCTCATGCCCTCTTTCTCTCTCCTCTCCCCCTGCACACACGCACACAGTATCCCTCCCGTCCGTCACGTCCATCCACCTGCGCCCCGTACCCCCACCCCAGCACACACCATCCCCATCCCTCTCCTCACTTATTCAGCTCCCTGCACACTCCTCGCTCTGTGAAATCCCACCAGCCTCTGCCCCTCCTCCACCCCCCAGCCCCCTTGAAGGACCCCCAATGGCATTTTGCAGTGGATCCTCCCCTGCTAGCGGTACACATGCACTCATCCAAACACTGAATGAGCCCCAGTTCAGTGCCACAGGTGGAGGGGTGGGCAGAAACAGACACCGTCACTGCCTCCTCCTTGCCTCCAGTCAAGGCGGGAGAGGGAGGCATTGGCCAAATAACCCCTCAGACTCACTTGAAATTGCAACTGTGCTGCGAGCTGAAGGATGAGCAGCATTAACAAGGCAGAGAGGGGAGAAAAGGGCAGTGGAGGCCCAGGACAGCATGTGCAAAGGCCCTGTGGCAGGAGGGAGGAGGGGTCGGGGTCTGCAAAGACAGCAGAGGCAGGCTGGCCCAGGGAAAGTGAGGAGGGCAGAAGGGGCCAGGCCCCTGGGGCCTTGTTGTGGAAGCCTGGGAGGATATGGAGCAGGGGAGGAGCCATCAGAAGTGTGATTAGACAAGATCTCTGGGGCTGCAGAGCAGGGAGCTGGGCAGGGGGCTGGGCTGGAGGTGGGCACCAGGAATCCCAGCAGGAGAGACAGAGCAGTGGGAGGACTGGGCATCTGAGCAGGGGCCTCTCCAGGACCTGGGTCAGGTCTGGGCTGGGGGGGAGGGGCGCCTGGAGGGACTTGCGTCTGGCTTGAACCGGGAGATGGAGGTTAGGGAATGCCAGGAGAGGGCCAGGTGGGGGAAGAGCATGGGTGTGGACAGGGTGGGTTTGAGGTGCCTTTAAGAACACCCCGGAAGAAGTCAGGCGGGCGGGTGGTTATGGGGTCTGGAGCTCAGAGGCCAGGTCTGGGCTGGAAGTGGGGTCTGCCAGCAGCAGGATTTCTCTGGAGCCCCGAGCGGGTGGCTCCTGTGTCCTCCTGGCACTCGCACCCCTGAGCAAGCTTTCCAGGGCCTGCGTCCGGCCCTGGCCCCCTGGGACTGGGCAGCACAGGGCAAGGTTGGAGGAGAAGCCAGCTTCCAGGCTGCAGTTGAAAGATGGAAACCTGGAAGACGGGGGTCGCGGAGGTTCTGTGAGCACGTGAAGGGCAGACCCAGGAGGAGGGTGGAGAGTTGGATGAGGGCCGACTAGCACCTTCCCCCACCCCGTCACCTGGACTTCTCATCCCCACCCCTACTCCCCCATGTGTCTCTGCTCACCCTGCTCCGAGAAGGGCAGCATGCTCCGCACGCGTCCCTCCGAGACCCCCTGCCTCTCCCGCATGGTGGTAGGCTCCCCGCTCCGCCCCAGCCCAAGGCTGTTTCCAGGGCCGCCTGCCTTTGCATGCTGGGCCGAGTCCCCATGTTATGTCCCACCCCGTGAAGGGATGGCTTGCACTCTGGGAACGGATGGGAGGGGGCTGGGGACACCTGGGCCATAGGTCCCGTCCCCAGGCGGAGCTGGGTGGCCAGGCAGGGCTGGCAGTCAGGTCCGTGGGGCATAGAGGGTGACTCTCTCTTAGCCGAGCTGGGTTGGGGGCTTATTCGAGGCACTTGGGCCACTGTCACAGTGGGTGGGCCCAGTGTGGCGGGGGCAGGAGCCCCCTGCCTCTCCCCCACCCTGGGGGTCTAAGGGCCGAGTGACATGTCCCAGAGAGCACCCTGGGCTTGGCCAGTAGGCCAGAGGCCTCTTGCCAGCCCCAGAGATTCCTCGACACCCCCTCCCTGCCTCTCGGCTCCCAGGCAGCCCTTGGGGACCACCGCATAGGACTCCCACATAACTCATCATCCCAACTTTTGAGGCCAAAAGGGGCCCTGTCACTTTCGGGGCAACCTGTGTGGTCACCCCTGTGCCACTGGGTGGGGAGGGCCAGGCCAGTTTAAATCTTGCTCCACGGCTCGTGTCTGGGGCTCCTCCAGGTCCCGTGGAACAGAGTCCAGTACAGCCCCTCTGCCTCCGTCCCCTGGTGACTGAGCAGTGGAGATTTCCTTGTCTGCCTGAGGCAGGGTCCCAGACGCAGACGCCTCCGGGGCCAAGCAGAGGCCGTAAGCCAGGAGAGCAGGTGCCCTTATGAGAACGCGGGGCCGTGGTGCTGGAGGATGTGTGGCCTGCTTCTGGGGGGCAGGCACAGCTGGGCCCCAGCTAACCGTTGCCAGGCCGGAAGCAGGGCCAGGGTTGCCAGAAAGCCAGATCTGGGAGCAAAATCTGATTTTTAAACACTGGCAACTATGTTTAATTAAAAAAAAAAAAAATCTGTTCAGGCCCAAGAAAAGAGCTTGAGGAGCCCGATTTGGTCCATTTGTGACTTCTAGCCTCCTGCCCCCCCCCAGCAGCGCCCCCTGGAGACCCCAGCAGGCAAGCCCGCGGACAGTCACATGAGGCGCCCACCTTCTCTGGCAGCCCCCGGCCCCCGCCGGCTGTCTGCCCCTCACCCCCGACCCCGGGGTTCTCTGGCTTGGGCGGGAGGAGCAAGGCAGTGACTAGACAGGGGTCTTGGAGCAGAGGCAGGGGCCGCCCAGGGAGGTCCTGGGGGCAGGGACGGCCCCCTCCCCGCCCCCAGCACCGGCCCCTCGGTGGGCCCGGCCGATGCGGAGCTCAGCCACCCACGGGCGCTGCGTGCTTCCTGCTTCCCGCAGGCCTGGTCCCGTGCCACTCCACCCACCCCAGAAGCTGAGAAGCCATCCCTGAGAGGGGGGAAAAGGGCCCCAAATGCATCTTCTCCGACTCAGCGGGCAGCGAGGACTCGCCCTGCGGCAGAACAGCCCCAGCTCCCTCCCGTCCTCCCCATGCCCGCTCGCCAAGGGGGTAAGACAAGACGTCCTCCGCTGCTCCTCTTGGCGTGGGTGCGGTCAGGGCGGGCAGGAGCGGGTGGGCAGCTCGGCAGGGCAGGGCAGGGCAGGGCAGGGGGCCCGGTGAGTCCACGACAGATGCATTTCTGGCCCGGAGCGTAACATGCCCTCGGCACCGCCGCGTCCACCAGGCCCGCGCGCTGGCTGCCACCCCCCGCCCTGGTGTCTGTGCCTCGCACCGTGTGACGGATTCGGCTACTTGCCCCGCTTGTGTCCTCTTGTCTCAGTGCATTTGGTTGTTGGGAGAAACAAAAACCATCTCGATTTTTTTCCTGATTGGATGATTCGGATATATTTTCTTTTCCTCGTTTTTTTTGTTATTTCTTCCCCCCTCCGCGCCCCACCCGTTCCTTTCTCTTCCTTCCTTTTTCTTTTCTTTTCCCCGTGGCGGGTGGGGCTGGCCGGGAGGGCTTATGCTTTTGAGTTGATGCCTCTTCCTCCCTCCCACCCTCTCTTCCCCGACTTCGTTCCTTTTTCCAGTTTTTCCTCGGCACCATTGCATTAATAGTGCTTTCTCTCCTCTCCCTCCTTATTTGGGGTCTGGCTTGCTTTTTCCTGTTGGTTGGCTTCATGTAGGGGCCTCTGTGAGTGGTGACGGCTCTGAGCCCCTGGGGGGGTGGGCGGACGGTCACCCCTCTTTCTCCGTCTCCCCAGAACAACTTCATCAACCTGAGTTTCCTCCGCCTCTTCCGCGCTGCCCGGCTCATCAAACTCCTCCGCCAGGGTTACACCATCCGCATTCTGCTCTGGACCTTTGTGCAGTCCTTCAAGGTGAGCCCCTGCCCGCGCCCGCGCGGGGCTGGGAGGGACCGCAGACGCCCCCCTGCACGCGCCCTGGCTGAGTCTAGAAACCAGGTGGAAAGGCCCCGATCGTGCACCTGCTGAGGCTGCTGTCTGCAGGGCTCTTGTCTAACTCCCTGCCCCTGGGGTGTCTCGAGAGCTCCGGGGGAAGCCCCCCGAAGCCTTGCCCTGCGATGCCCCCCGGCGGGGCGGGGCCCTGGCGGCGGAGGCAAACTGAGGGGCGCAGCGCCCTCCCTCACGGCCGCCCTTCCCGCCAGGCCCTGCCGTACGTCTGTCTGCTGATTGCCATGCTCTTCTTCATCTACGCCATCATCGGGATGCAGGTGCGGGGGCCAGCGTCCCCGGGGGGAGGCAGCCGCGGGCGGGGCGCCCCCTGGTCGTCAACCTGCCCCTCCCCAGGTGTTCGGCAACATCGGCATCGACGTGGAGGACGAGGACAGCGACGAGGACGAGTTCCAGATCACCGAGCACAACAACTTCCGGACCTTCTTCCAGGCGCTCATGCTTCTCTTCCGGTGAGGGGGGCGCTTCATCCTCCTCCTGGGGGGGGGGCACTTCATCCTCCTCCTGGGGGGGGGCGCTTCATCCTCCTCCTGGGGGGGCGCGCTTCATCCTCCTCCTGGGGGGGGCGCTTCATCCTCCTCCTGGGGGGCGCGCTTCGTCCTCCTCCTGGGGGGGCGCGCTTCATCCTCCTCCTGGGGGGGGCGCTTCATCCTCCTCCTGGGGGGCGCGCTTCATCCTCCTCCTGGGGGGGGCGCTTCATCCTCCTCCTGGGGGGGGCGCGCTTCGTCCTTCTCCTGGGGGGGGCGCGCTTCATCCTTCTCCGGGGGGGGGCCATGCTTCATCCTCCTGGGGGGGGCCATGCTTCATCCTTCTCTTGGGTGGGCGGGGCGTGCTTCATCCTTCTCTTGGCGGGGGGCTGGCCTCTCCCTTCTCTTGGGGGCTGTCCTCTTCTCCTCTTCTGCTGGCTCCGTTCCAGTGAGGCCTGGGTTGGGCCTGGGGACCCCAGGGCCCCTGGCAGGACCGAGCCGAGGCCCTGGGACACAAGCAGGGAAGGTGTTTTCTGGCTTTATCTCACTGACTCCTCCTGACTAGCCTGTGGGGCGGGAATTCTCGGCAACCCCATCTGACAGGTGAAGAAACTGAGGATTAGGGACTCTGAGGCTTGATTCTTAACCTTGGCTGCACGTTAGAGTTCCTTCCTTCATTCAGCCGAGGTCTACTGAGCACCTACTGTGTGCCAGGCACTGCTTCAGGCACCAGAGACAGAGCAGAAAGAGACATTCTCTGCCTTCTGGAAGCCGTCAACTTAAAAAGCAAATTTGCCGGTTATTTTACCCTCAACTTGAGTGTTTTCGGGAGTAGCCAAAAGAATTGCAACTCGGGATGTGCGTGCTATGGGGAACCATGGGCAAATCCAGAAAACAAAGGAGGGAGCTGCTTTTATAGAGAGAAAGGGGGATTAGAAGAGGCTGTTCTAAAGGAAAGTCCATGGGGGAAAGCAACAGCTCAGGGTTGCAGCGGTTTCTCATTGGCTGAGCTAGGCGGTTTCTCATTGGCTGGGTCGTTGCAGGGTGAGAAGAGAAATCTTCCTTCAGTGTTCAAGTCCTTTTGCTTCCTGTCGAAGGTGAAAGGCATCCTCTCGTCCTGTTCTGTGTAACTGAGGATGTGTGGTAGGGAGTGAGAGCTCCCTCTGCAGGCCTTCCCGGCTCCAAGTTAGCTAAGGTTTCTTTTATTAATATCCACCAAGCTTATATTCTAGTGAGGGAGAGAGGCGATGGGTAAACTAATTATAGAGAATGCTCGAAGGGGATAAAACTGCAGATTCAGAGGGAAATGGAGGCACAAAAGAACAAATAATGTATGATTCCACTTATGTGAGGTACCTAGAATGGGAAAATTTATTGAAGAAAAAAAGTGGACTAGAGATTGCCAGGGGCTGGCTGAGTGGAGAATGGGGAGTCATTGTTTGATGAGTACAAATTTCCAGTGTGTGGTAGATGAAAAGGTTCTGGAAGCGGATGGTGGTAATGGGTACACGGCATTGTGAATGTGCTTAATGCCTCTGAATTATACACTTGAAAATGATTAAAATTATAAGCTTTATGTTATGCAGATTTTCGCATAACATTTCTTTTTTTTAGTTTAGCAACAACAAGTAAAGGAATGGAGAGCTGAGAGGTCACACCTCTCTGGAGGGGGGTGACATTTGACAGAAATAAGTGAGGGAAGGAGCCATGTGGATATCTGAGGAAGGGCAGTCCAGCAGAAGGTACAGCAAGTGCAAAGGCCCTGAGGCAGAAGCATGGCTGGCACATTTGAGGACAGGGAGGAGCCCAATGTGCCTGGAGCAAAGTAACCTAGGGAGAAAATAGTAAGAGACGACAATCACCTGGAGGGAAGGAAGCTTTTAAATCATATCTGTGTCCCCAGGGCCCCACCCCAGACCAACTGAATCCACGTCTGTGGGAGTGGGGCATGTCATCAGAGGCATGTCATCATCATTTTTTAAAAGCCTCTTACAGGCTTTTAAAAATCCTCTGCACAGCCTAGGATGAGAGTCACCTCTCTGAGCTTCCAGAGAAAAGAGTGGCTTACCTGGGACTTGAACCCATGCCAGTCCAGCTCCAGAGCCCAAGTGCTCTGCCTCCCTGGGGGGCGTTGGTGTCCAGGGCTGGGCGCCCAGGTCCCTGACGCCCCCGCTCTGCCCTCAGGAGCGCCACCGGGGAGGCTTGGCACAACATCATGCTTTCGTGCCTCAGCGGAAAGCCGTGTGATAAGAACTCTGGCATCCTGACTCCCGAGTGTGGCAACGAGTTTGCTTATTTTTACTTTGTCTCCTTCATCTTCCTCTGCTCTTTTCTGGTGAGTCTGTGGACGTGCGAGGGCGGGCTCCCCAGACCCAGCTCCGCCTCAGGAGCACGGTTTCCCTGCAACGTGACTGTGTCGCAGACCTGCTCCCTCCCAGGCGTCTCTGAGTCCACTGGGAATGAGGTTAACCGGGCTTCCTCACCCTCAGCACTGTTGACGTTTGGAGCTGGATCCTTCTCTGGGGGGACATCCTGTGCATTGTGGGGTGTTGAGCAGCAGCCCCAGCCTCCACCCACCAGATGCCATCCCACCCCCAGGTGTGATGACCAGCTGTATCTGCAGACATTGCCAAATGTCCCCTGGGGGAAGGGATAGAATCTCCCCCGTTGGAGACCCGCTGGGTTCCACTGAGAGAAAAACTACTGGGGCCGAGAGCTGCTCCCACAGCCCATCTAGTTACAGAGGATACTGGTTATGTTCTCGCTCTCCCTGGAGCAGTCAGAGTCCAGTCAGATCAGAAACTGTCTAGGTGTTTCCAGCAGAGGGGATTTAATACGGCGATTGGCTACGCAGGGTTGAAAGAACAAACAGAGGACACTGAAGTCACCAGGGACTGCCAACAGTAGGAAGGCCTGGACTGGGGAATTAAAAGAAAGGCAGGGTGTTACCGACCCAGCTGGCTGCCCCTGCCCCCTCAAGGGAGTGCTGGCACCCTGGCCGTCTGCTGCCCCTGGACAGTTGCAGTCGGTACTGGTTTCCTGTGGCTGCTGTAACAAAGTACCACAAACTTGGTGGCTTAAAGCAACAGAAACTTGTCCTCCTACAGTTCTGGAGGCTAGAATCCTGATCGAGGTGTCGGCAGGGCCAGGCTCCCTCCAGAGCCGCTCGGGGAGGGTCCTCTTGGCGTTCTTTGGCTTGGGGCAGCTTTGCTCCAACGTCTGCCTCCGTCGTCACGTGGCCTGCTCCCTGTGTGTCTGTGTCAACTTCCCTCTTAGGAGGGCAGCAGTCATATTGGATTTAGGGTCCACCCTACTCCATTATGACCTCATATTTACTTGATGACATCCACAAAGACGCTTTTTCCGAATAAGGTCACGTTCACGGGTACCTGGGGTTAGGATTTGAATGTGTCTTTTGGGAAGACATGGTCCAGCCCACAATACAGAGCCACACTGGCAGCAGAACGAGTCCCTTCTCCTGTCCTCCCCCGTCTGGCCTTCTGGCCGTGGCTCCCACTGACGGGATGTAGGGAGCCAGCTGTCAAGGGAGTGTGGGAGATGTGGTTTGCAGACCCCAGCCCAGACACCAGCGTCTGTCAGCAAAAGCCCAGCACCCCCACCCTCTTCAGACCAGTGGCCTCACATGGAGAGACCTGCAGCCTCAGACTCACAGGCCCCCAGTCCAGCGTCTGTAGCCGCTGACCCAGAGGGTCCCTGCTCAGTCCTAAATTCCCAGAAGGGAGAGTCTGAATGGGCCAGCCCAGCCCCTGGTCAAGAGGCCACCCTTGTGTCAGCAGGTCTGGGTACACATGGGGACAAGATCTTATAATCCAGCCCATGTGGGAAGGGCAGCCACCTAGAAGACACCTACAGCACTTGACCGTCAGCCCCCGAGGGCAGGGCTTTCTGTCTTGGTCACTGTTGTATCCCCAGCACCTAGGACAGGGCCAGGCACACAGTAGGTGCTCAATCAGTATCATAAAGATGAAGTAAAAATAGAGTCACTAAAGTTGGGCACACCTAGGATTACAGGTTACTTATTAAACACCTACTATGTTTACACTTTTGCTTCCACTTACCTAGATAAACACTTTATAGTACCTACTATGTGCCAGCTTTATGCTAGGCATGGGCGGTGTAAGGAGACCCATGGTTCTCTCAGTTTGCAGGGGTGATGGGCAGACAAGTCGGCAGATAACAGCAATATGGTCTGATAGCTGCTGTGATGGGGGAGAGTCTGACTGCAGGAAGGACCATTTCAAACAGAGGCCCTCAGGGATGGTGAGCAGGAACTAGACCACATGTTAATCAAATCGGTTGCAAGTAATAGAAACTCAGCTGAAACTGATTTAAGCAGCACGCACAGCTGACTAACTTGTGTACCTGAAAAGTGTGAGTGCAGCTGGATCCAGGCCAGAGGACCCGTCCTCTTTGCTGTTCTCTCCATGCTGTCTTCATTCTCAGACTTTCTCCCTATAGAGGCAAGATGGCTGCCAGAGTGCCAGCAAAAATCCCAGGGAAGGCTCTCATTGGCCGCCTTGGGTCATGTGCCCCTCCCCAACCAATCACAGGCTTGGGTTGTATGACACGGGGAGCCATGAAGTGGGGGTCAGCCACACCCAGCTACAACGTCTTGTGTGTAAAGGAGGGGGATTCCCCAGGTTCTGTTACCCAAAGGGAGAAAAATCATGATGCAACATTTGCAAAGGCTTGGAGACAAGCTCCTTGCAAGCTCCCCACGTGCTGAGGGCTAGAAGAGCACGTGAAAAGGTGCTACCAGGTGCAGACAAGGGCAGGAAAATTTCTCCATCCATCCGTCCATCCATCCACCCACCCAAGAAATATTTGCTGAGTGCTTACTTTGCGCTGGGGCTGGGAACACGACCAGGTCCTTGCCCACAGGGAGCACTCACTTTGGCCTTGTTGGCGGCCAGGTGTGGGAGGATGTGGGTCCTGGTGGTCCCCTTGGTGTTGGCCCCCATTTTACATAGCCTCTCCTCTCTGTGTCTCTATCCATCACTCTCGGTCTTTGTCTCTTTGTATCCCTCTCTGTCTCCATCTTTCTCTGTCTCTGTCTCCCTCCCCCATCTCCATCTCTGCATCTGTCTCTGGACTCCTTGCGTGAGTGTGTGTCTTTCCTCCCTGTCCCCCCATCTTTCTCTTCTGTCCCCCTTGCCCCTCTCGTCTCCCCCTGCCCCGGGCCCTGTGTATATGTGTTTGGATGTGTCTCGCTCTACCCTACTCCCTCCCGGCCCCCGGGGTCCCCACAGATGCTGAATCTCTTTGTTGCCGTCATCATGGACAACTTTGAGTACCTCACCCGAGACTCCTCCATCCTGGGTCCCCACCACCTGGATGAGTACGTGCGTGTCTGGGCCGAGTATGACCCCGCAGCGTGGTAAGGAGTCACCCCCAATCCTCCAGTCACATGGCCCACCTCTCCCTGGCATTGGAGCACGGGTTAAGTCAGGCCCCAGACCCCAGGGCATTCAATCACTGGGGAGCCAGCGGGGATCTTGGAGGATCAATCTAGAGGAAAGAGATGAGAATCAGTGCTTTTGCACACCCGGGTTAAATGCTTGGATACCAGCCCTGCCCAAACCCCAGGCTTCCTGGGAAATGAGGGAAGGAGTCAAGCATGAGGCGTCCGCCTCCTGTGAGTCTCTCCTGCCCAGAATGATGAAGGACAAGTTAGCCAGGCCCCAGGGAGGAAGCCGAGGCCTCTCGGCCTCAATGCTCCTGGGGGTGTGGGGAGAGGGGCTGGCCAGGCTCTCTTGGCAGACAGGATTGGCTGCAAGATCAGAGTGGTGGAACCCAGCTCCCACGGGGATCCCGAGCCTGGAACAGGTGATCACATGAGGCCAGAGGAGAGGACACAGAGCCCCAGTGGCCCTTGCATCTTCGTGGTGATGAGGGAGTGGGCGCCAGAGTGCCCCCTCCTGGCCGGCAGGTGGTGGTGTCAGCGAGCCATCTCCACCCGTGCGTGTGTGTTGGGTGCCTGCTCAGCACCAAGCCCTTGCAGGACCCTCAGAGGCGCTGTCCTGGTGTTCAGAGCCCACCTGCCACTACCTGGGGATTCTAGTGCAGGCGGGGCTTGGGGCCTGAGGGACCATTACTGGGGGCCTTATAGGGGCCTGAGCGCTCAAGGAGAGGCCTCACAAGGAAGGGGGAGGAGTCCATCTGTGCCATTCCGGCAGCCTCAGACGAGTCCTCCCGGAGACCGAGGGGCCAGGGTGAGCCGTGGGTCTGGGGCTTCACTTTCAGCTGGTTCCTAACTCTTCCTCTTTTGATTTTAGGTCACAGCAGTTGGATGCTGTCCCTCTGCCCTCTATTCCATGAGCCCCCCCCCCCCGCAGTGTAGCCCATGTAGATTGTGAAAGAGGGAGAGGCAGAGAGACCCCTGGGGGAGGTGCCCCCCAGCCCAGAGCTCCCGCCACACCCTCTGCCCCTGGGGTCTTCAAGTATCTGGGAACATCTCAAGGACCTTTGCTCATCCTGTGTCTCCCCCACCCCTTCAAGCTGGGGGTCCCCAGCCCCTGGCGTCACAAGCTTGCCATGTGGTGGGGAGCCAGCGTGAACGCGGCTTGACCCTGTGCCTCCACTAATCCCCTCTCTTCTGCTTTCAGCGGTCGGATTCATTATAAGGACATGTACAGTTTATTACGTGTAATATCACCCCCTCTCGGCTTAGGCAAGAAATGTCCTCATAGGGTTGCTTGCAAGGTTTGACTTCCACTAAAACCTGCTAGCATCCATGGAATGAGTGTGGCTTGGGGTTCTTCAATATATATATTTCGTATATATATATATATATATATATATCTAAAAAACAGAGCCATCTCTCTCTCTTGCATTAAACTAGAAAACTCTCTTAGCCACCAGAATGCAGTCACGTAGACTCGGGGAAGCATGGAACATTTCTCTCTGTTCCCTTCAGCCATTTCTGCTTGCTCCCAGCTGAAGCTGCCCATCCCGGGGTCTCCACAGCACCCCAAATCAGACGCATCCCGGGGGGGATCGTAACTGCATTGACCCCCCGCAACCATCACCTCTACTCTGTCCCCCTCCACCCTTTGCTTCCTGAAGCTCCCAGCCCTCCTCCCACGGCCCCCGCCCCTCCTCCCCATCTAGGCACCTCAGAGACCAGCCTCAGCCAAACCAGAAATTTTTAAAATAACGCTGAACCAAAGCGTTGCTCCAGGCCCTCCAAAACAACAACCCCCCTTCCCCCAGGTTGTTCCAGAACCAGAGATCAGAGTCACCACCGAATCTGACTGTTCTCTTTTCTCTCTCTCTCTCCCTGCTCGTGAGCAGTGAAATCTTTTTTTTAATTACCTTTTCTTCCATTTTTTCCTCCTCTGTCCCGTTTATTTGAAATACCTATTTTACCATTCTCTGCATCTTTCTCTCTATTTTTTCGGCTCGTGTGATTTTTTTTCCTTTTTGGTTTTTTGGTTTTTGTTCTCCCCCGTTCCTCCCCTGCCCGCCCTTTCCTGTGCTTCTCCGTTCCCACCCTGTTCTTGTTTTTTGGTGCTGCCAGGGGCCGCATGCCTTACCCGGACATGTATCAGATGCTGAGACACATGTCTCCGCCCCTGGGTCTGGGGAAGAAGTGTCCGGCCAGAGTGGCCTACAAGGTAGTCTACCCTTGACCACCGCCGCCGTCGGGCGCTGGGGATTTTTCAGTGCCGACCAGGAACAGCCAGCCGGGTCTCTTTTTCCAGCGTTTCTCTTCTTCCTTCTTTTTTTTTTTTTTTTTTCTTTTTTCCCCCTTTCCTCCTCGAGTAAATGGACCTGGCCGTCCCTTGACTCAGCAGCACCCTGTGTCCGTCCTCTGATGACTGTGTCTTGGTGTTTGGAGACTCCATTATGGCCGGGGGGGAGGGGAGCCCCCAGGTCCCCTGGCACCTGGTCCCCTGGGAACCACATTGGACACAAACATGCTTTGGGGGGGATCGCCGCCACGCCTCCCTTCTGCCCACCCACAGCGGCCCCTGGGGCCCAGGCTGGGGCAGGTACCTGGTGGCAGCAGTGGGGGAGACTTTGGCCCCCAAGAAGGCAAGACCCAGGCCCCAGCTTTTGTATCTTGAGCCCCCAGGTCCAGGCCCCCCACACACATCTGAAGCTGATCTCTGACCTAGGGCCTTGGGGGATCCAAGACCTCCCGAGGAGCCTCCAGAGCCTCTCCTCCCCACCCTCCCTCCCCTCTGGAGCCGTTTCTCCGGCCCCTGCCCTACACCACCTGTCTCCCCACCCCTACCCCAAGACGCTCCAACATGCCTCTCCATCATTCCAGAGTGGGCAGGCAGGCCGCAGCTGGACCCCTGGACTGTGGCACCCTGATGCAGGCCATGCACGCTGCCTTGGCGGGGGCCTGGGGCGGGCAGGCACCATGGCCGACCGGGGGCGGTGCATGCTGGCTGTAGGAGCAAGGGCCGGGCCGCCAGGCGGCTGAGCCGGGCCACCCTCCAGACCCCTGTCCCGGAATCTCCCTTGGCACCCAAGGACAGATGCTCTGTTCCCTCCAACTCATCCACGAGAAGGTCGGGAGTGACCTTTAAAGTCGTCCCTCCCCCAAAAAGATTGCCCCATCATCCCATTCTCCCGTCCACCTTGGCTCACCCTGTGTCTGCGAGAGTCCTCCCTCCCTCTGCTGCCTCCTGCGGCCACCCCACCTCCTCTGTCCTCCCTCCATGCACCCCTCCTTCCCAGTCAAGATCGGGCTGAGGCCGCCCCACCAGCATCCAAAAGATCGTCTCCCTGCACCTGTCTCTTCCCTCTAATTGTCCTCTCGTCCCTTCTCTGAGTCTCTACTTGGCTGGGTGCGTGTGTGCAAAAGAGAGGGAGGAGTGCCCTTCTCCTCCTGGTCTCTGTGCAGGGCCACCACAGCTCCGTAAATCACCTTTTGAAAATTTAAAAAGGGCACCCTTTCCATAGAACACTTTGTCGAAAAATTGTTGTAGTCCATCCATATGGCAAGAACAAGACACTCTTCTGCTATCAGTTGGGCAGTTGTCATTTAAATAAACAAATCCATGATTTCTAAGATGAGGAGTCCTTTGTGCAATGCACAACATGCCCAGCTGTGCACAGTAGCCCAGTCTGTGTGTGTTTCTCTGTCTACGGCCTGCCTCCCTGCCCTGCCCCAACCCCTGTCTCGTGTTCTACTCGGGGTTTTCCATCCCCCTGCCCATCTCCAGCTCTGTGTTTCCTGCTGACATGTGTCTTAATCCCCTGGTGAATACCAAACTCACCCTCAACCCCCATCTCCATGCCACCTGAGCTTGGCTGGTGCCCACCAGCCCAGCATCCTCTCCCATGCCGCCAAGCATGGGGGACAGAGCCCCTGCCTGGGACACAGGGAGTCTTTTCTTCCCTGGGCCATGGGAACGCCCCCTCACCCCTTCCCCCTGCCATCACACAGAAAGCTGAGACCTGGACACACCCCTGAGATACACTTCCCACGGAGCTATGAATGAGTCTCGAGATTCCGTCTGCATGCACCCCTGTCTGCTGTTCTGTGTGTCGTGGCCTCGCTGCATGTCTGCGAGGGGCCCACCCCATCAGCGGGGGGCCGCCCGCCTGCTGCTTCTCAGAGGAATGATGTGGTCTGTGCCCACCTGGTCTGGTGTGGGCCGAAGGGGGGTGGGATGGGGAGCGGCGGCCCCCCAGTGGCTGTGGCTGTGGACTCCTGTGCCTGGCTGCTGCATGAACTGCTGCAATCGATTTGGTCTCTTCTTTGGGGTCAGAACGGAGCGGAGCCGTCCAGAAGAACTCTGGGGCAGCGCCAGGGTGTGGGGCAACCCTGGAAGTGCCAGCTCTGGGGTCCAGCAGGCGGGAACAGAGGGGGCAGGAGCTCAAGGCCTAGGATAGCCCCCAGGGCCCTCCCTCCAGGCCACCAGAGGAAGTCAGTAAATGGAGCATTGGGACGGATAACTGGGGATGCAGCCCCCTTAGCTGCTGCCGTCAGAGTTCTTCCTGGTGCTCCCCGGGTGGGTGGGGCTGTCTCATGGGGCACCGGGAGGGGTGCCTGGGAGTGACAGCCCTCACCTCTGGTTGTCTGTAGAGGCTCCTGCGGATGGATCTGCCTGTAGCTGATGACAACACTGTCCACTTCAATTCCACCCTCATGGCTCTGATCCGCACAGCCCTGGACATCAAGATCGCCAAGGGTAAGGGCGAGCACGTGAGCAGAGAGGAGGACAGGGTGGAGCAGCAGGGAGCCAGGGAGCCCCCTCCCGGCCTGAAACCAGGGGAGCCACTGCCCTGTCCTCGTCTTCACTCACTCACCTGATCACTCATTCAGCCAACATCCAGTGCAAGCCTCCCGGGCACTGGACACTGCTCCAAGCATGGGGGACACGGCAGCTTACACTCCAGGGGGTAGGCCTCCCCGCGGAGCTTCTGAAGGAGGTGCGGTGATGAGTCACATGGGTACCTGTGGAGACGGTGCCCCTGTTACCCAGCAAGGGCTCACCACCCAATGCGCATATAGAGTTGATTTTCACAGCATCAGCCTGTGGGAAAAGAAAAACAGCTTTATTTGTGAGGTTGATCTGCAAGGAGACAGGAGAGACGTGCTCTCAGATCTGTCTCCCTGATCCAGGGCTTGGGTGGAATTTATGGGATGAGGGGCAGGGCAGTCTGAAGTGTGGGAATAGATGACTGGAGGAGAGGAGAAGTGAGGTCGTTGGTGATCTGCACAAGCACAGTCAAGCTTCATGGCTCTTCACAGGACACACATTCACAAAATGGTGGTGTTAGTGTGACCTGAGGGTGGAGTGTTCAGCCCTTCGATGTCAGAAGGGTCACTTATCAGGCATTTGCACAGGCCCAGTTGATGGGTTGGTGGTCTCAACAGGCCTGAACTGGACAAGGAGTCATTTCTCAGTTCCTGGAAAACCACTCTTAATTACTCTGTTGTTAAGATGGGGTCAGTTGAACTGTGCTGGAGGGCCCGGGGTTACAAATCCCCCCTTTTTGTTGTTCATTCCTCACTCTTGAGGGATACAGGGTGACAATTGCTCCAGCTTCTTCCTGCTGATGAGGGGCATACGTTGTTCCATCTCATTGAGCCAGTCTCTTAGTAAGACGGTGGTGCAGGGGGGATCCCAAAGTTAGGCCTATATGGTGCAAGCAAGTAACTAGGTATTTAATAAAAAACATTTCTAGAGAAACAAAAAGGAAACCAAGGTTAATGGCTGGAGCAAATTATAAACCAGTTTCTGAGTCCAGGGAGCAGCCAGTCAAAGGATTTCTAGATGTCATGGTCAAAGCATCTTTTGTAGCTTAAAATGTCTCTGCTGATGTCATCAGGTGTTCAGGTATCTTTCTGAGTGGCTTACACAGCAATAGACATGAATCTCCCTTAAATTTATATTTGGAAGTCCAGCTTCAGTTTGCAAGGCTTCAAGAAAGCAGGTTCAGTTCTCAGTGATTCCAAATGAAAATGATGAAAAAAATTGAAAACGTTAGTTTGGAGATTTGGAGCCAGATATTTGAGGAGACTAGAAGAATTCAGGATCCAGTCCAGTTAACAGATATCATACAAAAACCTCAAAGAGAATTAACAGAGCTAGAATCTAATATCCACAGATGTGTATTATAGTTTCTACTGAAATGTATTTTTTCTCTCTAAAATCGCACTCATTTTTAACAAAGATAGGCAAGTTGGGACTAATTGGTTGGCAAAATAATTCTAGTTTCAATAAGCTTGGGCCAATTATTTACATAAGTACAGCAAGAATAGCAATTAATAATATAGGCTCTTTTAAATGTGCTTTGCTGGAACTTTCCATAAGGAATCTCAGATTGAACTTCAAAGGCCTCTCAAGGCCAGCAGAGCCAAGGACTTGTCATCAGAGTCCACTTGCAATACCTATAGACGAGGTCCCCAAAATATCCAGAGATTCTTGCACCTGCCAGGGAAGTGACCTTCTTTACTCACCTTGTAAGGTTGCTGGAAACCCTGTAAACAAGGTACCAGGCCATTATTTCCAAGTGGCTTTATTTGTTCCATAAAGTGAATCCTTGTTCCTTAAAGGTGTTTGGTCATACCTGAGTTTATGCATGTTTCTCTCAAATATGACATTCCAGTCAAAGCCTTGGTAATATAACCAGTGTTTCCAATTGTGTCCTGTTATAAGGAGAACAGATTCTTATTAAACATATACAAATAACTATATTGCCATGAAAATGAGAATATTTACTCATCAAGAGTTTCCAAATTCCTAGGGATCAGGTAGGGAGAAAAAGATAAATGTTTCAATTCTGCTTACAGAGGTATAATTTACCAAATTGTTATAAGTCATAGCTAGCTTAAGAGAAAAGAGAAGAAGGTTTCTTAAAATCTGGAAAAAATAAGATGTTAAAAAAATCAGCAATATTTCAAACAAAAATTCATAAAAATTATAATCATCCTCATCAGTTTGTTCAGACTCATGTAATCAACTCTTGATCTTGATCTTTTGTTAGCAGTTTTATGGGGCCATCAGTTTCTCCATTAGAGTTCTGTAATTTCTTACCCAGCTCAGTTTTGTAATCTGAAAGTTTATCAGAAACCTGTATTCTAGAGTAAGTGCTAGAGTGCTTTCCATGAATCTCTCTGAAGAGGAAACTTTTGCAAAAACATCGTAGTAAAACAATAACAGTCTATAAATGACAGAAGACTCAAAAATGGCAATTGACAAAGAAACTTGGCTCTTTCTGTGACATACAGCACTTTAAAATAACTAGAATTATAACTGATAACCAGGACAGATCAAAATTTTAGGAATGTCATATAATTTTTAAAACATTTATATTAATAATGTTTACCCATGCAATATAACCTAAGAAGGTTTATCATCATTTATTTGACAATGCTTCCCATGTAATTTAACATACAAATAAGCCTAATTAGTTTAAGATCTCCCTGTTTATAGAAAGAGAGAACAAATTATTTGAGAAGTCCCAGGGCCCCACTGGAAATTATAAAGTTTGAATTTGGGGGAACTTTGTCAAAAATATTAAAAGGTTTGAAAACACTTGGTCACATAGGAAACAGTGCTGAGTTATCTATTTAACCAAGGTGATAACAGAAGATGTTAAAGGCAAACAGAGAGAGTTAAACAGTTTTAAAAACCCTTAGTTTTCTTAATAGAGAGATTCCAACCTTTTAGAACATGGGAAATTATTTTGCCAAAACATAGATTTTTCTGTCTTTTAGGTAGACTTACTCAAAGGTAAAGAAAAACCTTTTATAATCTCTTTATCAAGAGCAGACTAAAAGTCAAGGAAACATATCCTTTTAAGAGAGAGAAAATTCTAAATTTTGTACCAGCTTACTTTTGCTCTTAAATCTCATTCACTTAATTAAATTCATTTTGATCTTAGCCAACTCAACCACGCAAAAATCTCTTTCCTCAGGGTTCCTCTTCCACAAACCTTCCATAACCTTCTTTTTTTTTATTGATGTCATGATAGTTTATATCATTGTGAAATTTTAGTTGTATATTATTGTTTGTCAGTCACCATACAAATGCATCTCTGCACCCCTTGTGCCCACCCCCCAACCCCCTTGCCCCTGGTAACCACCAAACAGTTCTCTCTGTCCATGTGTTAGTTTATCTTCCACTTATGTGTGAAATAATGCAGTGTTTGTCTTTCTCTCCTGGCTTATTTCGCTTACCATAATACCCTCCAGGTCCATCCATGTTGTTGCAAATGGGATGATTTTGTCTTTTTTTATGGCTGAGTAGTATTCCGTTGTATGTATATACATATACATACTATATATATATACATATACATGTATATACATATATACATATACATGTATATACATATATACATATACCACATTTTCTTTTTCCAGTCATCAGTCGAGGGACACTGGTTTGCTTCCACTTCTTGGTTATAGTGAATAATACTGCAATGAACACAGGGGTGCATAAGCCTCTTTGGATTGTTGATTTCAGGTTCATTGGGTAGATACCCAGTAGTGGGATAGCTGGATCATGAGGTATTTCTATCTTTAATTTTTTGAGGAATCTCCATACCATTTTCCATAGAGGCTACACCAGTTTGCATTCCTACCAGCAGTGAATTCGGGTTCCCGTTTCTCCACAACCTCTCCAACATTTGTTTTTTGTCTTGGTGATTATAGCCATTCTAATGGGTGTAAGGTGATATCTTAG